GCGGGGATGACTCAGGCCGCCCGCCGTGCCCTGGAGGAAGCAGTTCCGGCGTCCGTCCTGCTCGGTGGTTCAGCGAGGCCGTTTTCTCAGGAAGGTCCCTTCGGGGATCCCAGAGGGTGCTGTGGGTCCCAGCTGCCCCCAAGCGGCCTGGCTGGCCTGTCCGTTGCCCGGAAGGGCTCCGCGTTCCCCTCTCGAACCCCGCCGGCCGCCCCCGGTGGGACCGGCGCCCGCTGTAGGGAGGCGGCCGGTCTGAGCAGAGCCCGGCTCCCAGAAGCAACGCTGAGGCCCCTCTAACTGGGAGGGCGGCGGCGGGGTGTCCAGGAGGCTCCCTGCGCACCTGGGGCCGAGGCGGGCTGGGGCCTGAGCCGAGCTCCCGCGGGGCTGCGCTGGCGGCTGTGGGGGCTGCGACCGCCGCGCCCTGCCTTCCGGGCTCCGAGCCCGGTGTCCTGCGTCTTGCCCTGCACGTGAGGATGCCCGTCTGCCCTCAGCGTCCCCCCTGCCTGTCAGACGCTCCCAGACTTCTCTACTGTTTAACTTAAGTGCACAGGCGGTGACACCTTCTTATCTAGTAGCGTCCTCCGCCGCGGGGGGGGGGGGGGGACGTGGGAAGCAGATTGAATTTTCCCTCAGCCTTGAGCTTCACCTTCTCCCAGGGAGAGAAATCGATGGCGAGGTAATTAAGGATCACGTAGTATCGAGGAAATCATTACGGGGGTGGGGAGGGGAGCAGGACCCCACAGCAGTTCCCGGGAGTTGCCGCTGGCGGGCGGTGCGTCAGCAAAGACGCGAAGGTCCCGCTGTGGGGAGGGGGAAGGGCGGCGTGGCGTGGCGGTGAGGCTCTCACGGGAGCACGTCCGGGAGCGCGAAGGTGCAGGGAGCCTCCTGGCTCCTCGCGCCGTGTGGAGCGTGAGGGTAGGGGGCGGACTTAGAACTCCCCGGTTTTGACAGAGGACGGTCTGCTACAGGCCGTGTGTTTCACGTGGAACCCAGAGCCCAGGCGAGGGCCTGGCCTCCTGTCTGTCTTTAAAGAAAAGGGTGGAGCCCTGGCTGTATGGCTCCGTGGGTCGGAGCGTCGTCCAGGAAACCGAAAGGTCGCGGGTTGGATGGCCGGTCAGGACACGTGCCTGGGTGACGGGGTCAGTTCCCGGTCAGGGCGCTTACGAGAGGCACCCAATCACCATTTCCCTATCACGTTGTCATTTCTCTCTCCCTCCCTTCCCTTCTCTCTAAAATCAGTAAGCATGTCTTTGGGTGAGGATTAAAAAAATAAGGACGGGAATGAGGAAGGGAGGGAGGGAGGGAGGGAGGAGGCCAACGTCCGGCTCCAAGCCCAGGTGGTGGAGGAAGAGCTGAGAGCCCAGTGTCCTGCTTTCCCGGAGTTCGTTCGTCCTTTCTCCAGGAGATGGCGCTGTTTCGGCCCGTGGCTCCTCGGTCGAGCCCGCGGCACCTGGCTCGGCCCTGGGCTCAAGGGTTAGCAGGTGGCCTGAGAGGCCCGCAGGCCAGCGCATCTCGACTCCCGCAGGGGCACCTGCCAGGCAGTCACGGGGGAGGGAGGGCGCGAAGCTCCAGCTCCGCGGGGTGAGGAAGGCGTCCGCAGCCAGAGGCCTCTGCAGGAGCGGCCCGCGCGCAGGGCGAGCGCCGGCGGCTGAGCGCGGGGGCGGGGCCCGACCCGCCGGGGCGCCTGCTGGGGGCGCGGCCGCCGCAGGGCAAGCCTCCCGGGACCCGGAGGCGAGCGGACGAACCGTGACAATGAAAACGCTCAGGAAGCAGGTAGGCAGGCGCCCCGACGCAGCTCCCTGGGAGCAGAAACAGCCACAAAGGTTCGCTCGGGGGCTGTGAGCGCGGCCGGGCCGGAGGGAGCGAGGGCAGCGTCCCGACGCTGGGAAAGCTGGGGAACCGCCCCCCCACCTCGCCCCCGGGGAGCTGCGGGAGGCCGCACCCCGAGGGTGGCCCTGCGAGGCCGGGGTTGGGCCCCTGACCTGCGGTGCGGCCGGCCAAGGTTGGTGGGGGGCCCCTGCGCCCTCCCCTCAGCTTCTGTCCTCGCGGGCCTTCTCGCTGTGTGTGGGGGGTGGTGTGGGGGTGTCCATACTCCCCTCCTCTTAAAAGGACACCAGTGGCGTTGGATTTAGGGGGCCCTCTAAGCCGAGACGACTTAATTCCACCTGTAGAGGTCCTATTTCCCCAAAAGGCCACACGCACAGGTTCCGAAGGACATGAATGGGGGGCCCATGGACCCCACCCACCGCTTTCTCACGGCCATAACCGGCCTGCGCAGATCCCGGAGTTTTGGAAAGCTGCGTTGTCACGTCTCCTCAGAAACACGGCTGCGAGCACCTCCCTTGGCCCGCTCAGCCCCGGCGGCCAGCCCTCCCTTCGGGGCCCTTCAGGGCCAGTGCCTGTCCTCTCCCCTCAGCGTCCCTGTCTCTCCCGCCCGCCCGCCGCCCCTGGGTCCCCGCGTCTGACTCCTGGAGACGCCTCCACGCGGCATAGCCTGACCCCGGGACCCGGAGTACCTGGGTCAGCCCCGCCTCTGCCCGCGCCCCCCGCCCTGAGCCCGCGCCGCACCCCCAGCCCAGTCCTCTGCGCCCGCCGCGGACGTGTCTGGGGAAGCCCGGGAGGTCTGGCTGCAGAAGTGACTTGTTCCCAGCCGGACATCTCCAAAGAGGATGAGATGCTGGTCCATTTTTAAGAACAACAGATGATGGTGGCCATGGCTGCCCAGCGGGGACAGTGAAGAGACAGGCACGGAGATCCCACAGCGAAGGCCTCGTCGGCCACCCACCTCCCACTCCCGCCACGGGGACCCAGGGGTCAAGGGGCCTGATGCTGTGCTTCTCAGAAACGCCGTGGTCTGCGGCCTCCTCCTCCTCGTCTGACCAAAATTTTGCCAGATTCCGAGGCCACAAGAGAACCAGGGACAGAGAAGGCGGTGCCTGTCCTGTCTATACCGCCTGGGAGCCTGCGACATAAGCCACGTCCCACCCCTGGCAGACGACCTCGCGGTTGGAGCAGCCGGTAGACCAGAAGGACGGGCGCACCGGCCGCTCCCCGCCAGGCCCTGAGTGCCGGCTCTGCATGCTGTTGCCGGGGCAGCCGTCAGCCACCTGCCTTCTTTCCTTCCGCTTCCTTTGTGTTTATTGCTTTTCATTTATTTAATGTGCTAGTTCAGCAAAGCACGTTTGACATATTATTTCCTCCAAAGGTCCCGTTTCCCAAAGAGCAAGGTGTTTCCAGTGACTGTTTTAGAGCATCGACTCAAATGACTTCACTCGACTGGGAGCAGCCACTAAACACGGGCGTGTTTGGTAACAGCGAGTCTCTGCCGGTCATCACAGCACGTGCCTCTCCTCTAATGGCCTTCCATTTCCAAGGGACGGGGTTGTTTTGCACCAAGAGGAACAATTTGTTAATATTGAAGATCATCCACTTTTTATGACCTAGAATTTAGAAGTGATGAGGGTTTCGTATGGGCCCCCTGTAATTTTGAAAGGACTCGCTGATGGGAAGTTTGCAATGTTATATCAAGAACTACATAGTGGCCCCAGCTGGTGTAGCTCAGCGGATTGCGCGCCAGCTGGGAACCAAAGGGCCGCCGGTTTGATTCCCAGCCAGGGAACAGGCCTGGGTTGCAGGCCGGGTCCCCAGTGGGGGGCGCGCAAGAGGCAACCACACACGGATGTTTCTCTCCCTTTCTCCCTTTCTTCCCCTCTCTCTAAAAATAAATAAAATCTTTTTTAAAAAAAGTTATGTAACGTTATATAATGCTTTCTCCTACTGAGAAGAGGCAGTCTCAACTGTGGATTTACAGGGTAAGCTCCAGCAGCCCCCTCGGACATGGAACCTTCCAGCGAGTTAGGCAGGACACGTGGATGAGAGCCGAACTCCAACGTGACTGACAGGGGGCTCCCTGGGTCTCTGTCTGAAACAGAAGGACCAGGAGGTCCCTGTGGAAAAGCTCAGTCTTGTGAAAAGCTTCTCTTTGGCCTCCGGCCACAGGGAGGACCGCGGCTCTGGCCCGCCCACCTGCCTCCCTGCCCCGCACGGCACAGCCGTGCAAGGCTGCTCACCACAGGCCCAAGGCGCCGCCCAGCCTCCAGGGCCGGCGCGGGCTGTCTCTCACGGCAGTTCCGTGGACTCACGTACCGGAGCACGGCTGTGCGCCCCGGGGCGAAGGCCAGCCGGGGTAAGTTCCGCAGAAAAACTGAAGGGTTGGTGCTCAAACGCCTTGTCAGCCCTTCGGCTAACTTCCGGATTTTTCTTAAGGGCCCAAGAGGCAGCTCGTTGTACACCTGGACCGAGCCGACGCGCAGCCCCCCGGCACCCAGCCCGAGGACGGATGCCCAGGTGGGCGGGCCGGCCGGCCACCAGCGCCTCGGGAGGCGGCTCGTCACCCTCCCCCTTCCCCCACCCCCGGCGAACCGCTCCCAGAGACCCCGGACGTCCACAGCGTGGGTTCAAGGTTTCAACGGAGGGTGTCCTGAGGACAAAAACCTGCCTGTGGTGGTGAATGTATTTCCAAGAGCAGCACTTTTCAACCTTTATTTTATCTTTTAACGCAAACACTCTCCACCAGCCCCTGAGAGCCGGGGCATTGCCGGCTGAGCTGAACCCCACCAGTCACGGTTTCCTCGCAGTTTCCTGTGGTTTTTCTATACTTAACATGACCAAAAAAAGGACTTGGAGTTTTTGTGTTTGTTTTCTCCAAACATAAAACTACATTTTAATACAAAGCGGGCTAAGAATCTCCACTTGGGAAGTTGCAGAGCTGTTCCGGGGACCGGGCGTCACCGGGAGCTTCGTGACCTGCTCACCCAGGAGGGCTATGCCTGCAACGTCCCGGCTCCTGGCCCCCACCCCACTCACGGCCCCCCAGATCACGGCCCCCCGTGCAAACACCGAGCAAGTGGTGGCTGGGGACAGGCCATGAAGGGAACCACTGATGGGTCTCAATTTGAGGTGTTTTGAAAAATAAGCTTATCCCAAAAATACAGCAACAAGAATAGTTTATTTAACAAAATCAGAATCCTGACATATATGTAAAATAACTATACAAATGGCGATGGCTAGTCACACAGCTCAGGTTCACATTTAACACTCGATTATGTTAATTTTGTTCGGAAGAACCTCTCCTGGCAGCTCCCCGACCGCGACCGGGCTCCCGTCTCGGGCTCCCAAGAAGCGATCACGCAGAGGACCCACAAGGCAAGGTCGGAAACGCTCTTTAACTTGTTTTGCAGCTTGGGGAGAACACGCGGACTTAAATATTTCTTGATTTATGTTCTCGCTTACTTAAAAGAAAAAGCATCAACGGTTTAAAAAAGAAGCACGCTTGTAGCGGCAGATAAATATGCGCAGGGCGTCCGGGCCGACGGCTCCCAGAGGCAGCCACGCGGGGCCCTGGCGGAGTCCGCGCGGTGCCCGGCCGCGCCCTGCTCTCCGACGCCCTCCCAGCCTCGCTGTGAGTGGACGCTCATCAGTCAGAGAGGAAGGCCCGTCGGCGCGCGTGGCTGCGGGAGGCGGTGCGGACGCACACGTGAATCGCGAGGAGGCCCGTGAATGCGCGAGCCGTGGCCCAGGGCCCCGCGGCCCCTGTCAGAGCCAGCTGCGGACGGACACTCCCGCACGGGAACCGCCCCGCACAGCACGGGGCCGCGGGAAGGCAGCGGCCTGGCCCGTCGGGGGAGGGAGGCGACCCAGGCCAGGTGCCAGGGGCGTGGAGGGGACACTGCCGGGCTCCGCAGGCCCAGCTCCTCCCCGGCCGGCAGGGCGTCAGGCGGTCAGGCCCTCCTGCTGGCGGGCGGCCCCGTCCCGCCGGCCCGCGACCGCTGCCGGTCGTATCTCACCGAGACGCCGAGGAAGAGCAGCAGCGTGGCGCCCTGGATGGCGGCCAGGAGGAAAAAGTAATAGTTCAAGTGGCAGCCGTTGATGTTGCCTAGAAAGGGAGAAAAGGGGTGGTGAGCGGCCCCGGCGGGCGGTCCGGGGGGCTCCCCGCCTCCGTCGGTTCCTCCTGAGCCGGGGCTGAGCTTCAGCTGCGGCCGCAGGAGAATGAAGGCCCCGCAGCCGTCATTCAGGACACGCAGGTGCTCGCCCTGGACCGCGGCGGGCAGCACCAGGTCTCGGGGGGCCTCCGCAGGCCCCGCCCCCCAAACGCCACCACCTCGTCTGTGTAAGGAGGGGCCGTGTCCCCGGGCGCCCGCCCCAAGCGCACAGGGACGCAGCCCACCCATGTCCTGGGGGAGACCGAGGCTGGGCTAATGGAGCTGCCGGCCAAGCAGGCAGCGGTCCTGGCACTCGCCAACCCCGGGCAACAACGGCCACGAGGAAGGCGCTGCCCGGGCTCTGTGCACAGCCCACGTGGGGGTGCAGACGCCCCCGACACCCCCACCCTGGACACAGGCCCGTGGCCACGGGGTGTGCTTCCCACTGGGCTGCTTTCAAGCCGTGTCTCCTCCCGGCCCATTCCGTCCCCGCATTTACAGGGAGGCCTGGGCACAGCCGACGGCTGAGGAAGGCGTGAGCTGCGGGGGGTGACGCCATGCAGGATGCGGGAGGCCGCTGAGGCGTAGCCACAGCGGAGAAGCCTGTGCTCCCCGGCCCCTCCGGAAGCCACCGCACATCTGGGACCAGGGTGCTCTCCCCCTCGCGCCGCTCACGACCAAGGCGCCGCTGCCGGCTGGTGCCGGCTGTGAGCCCGGCCGCGACCCACCGCGAGGAACGCGCGCCTGCTGGGGAGGGCACCCCAGAGCCTGTGGGCTTCTCTGACAGCAGGAAATCAAAGCGCGATGTCCGGAAATGAACAGGAAGCCAAGTAAACGCAGGGCCCCGCGTGACACCCCACGGAGGGAGACAGGCAGCCCGCGCGCCCCTGGCCCCGGGCGGGGGCACCGGGAGGCCCTGCCTGGCACAGGCGGCCAGCGGCAGATGCGCAAACACGCACGTCACGGCCGGGGCCCCGGGCCCGCCCCCTCGCCTTCTCAACGCCGGGCGCCGTTCTTACCGAAGTCCGTGTGGTTGCTCATCCAGCCGATGGCCTTGAGGGACACCAGCGCCAGCAGGCCCGAGCCCACGAAGGACCCGACGCCGGAGAAGAAGAAGAAGAGGCCCATGATGGCGCTCTGCATGGACTTGGGTGCGGCCGCATACGCGAACTCCAGGCCTGCGGGGGGCGGGGGGGACTGTGAGGGCGGCCGGCGCTGCCGCCAGACCAGGGCTGCGCGCGAGGCTTTTTCTCCCACTCACATGACCGTCCCCAAAATGCAGCGACACGGAGCCACCCCCTCACTCTCAAACGACAGTGACATCCGTCAGCTCCGAGAATCCCCTCTTCACGAAAAGCTCAGAAGCAACTTTCCCCTCTACTCCTAACGAGCAGGAGCCCGAGCACAGGGACACGGTGGAAACGGGGCCCGCCCAGCGGCGCCCCCTCGCGGCCCCAGCAGGCACGGCGGCTGCAATGCGTCCCCGGCGGAAGGGCCGCCAGGGGCGCGGGCACCTCACAGGCCGCCAGCTGCTCTGCCTGGGGCAGAGGCTCACCGCCCGGGGGCGGCCCCACCCGCGGGAGCAGCCCAGCCTCTGCGAGGGGGCGTGGCCACGGGAGCCCGTCTGCAAAGGCCAGGCCGCTTGCCGGGGGCGGGGCTCCCGCAGTGATGGGGGTGCCTGCTGCCGCAGGCCGGGCAACTACGGGACTTGGGACCCGCGAGACCCAGAGGAACCACCTGCCCTCAGGGGCTCCTGCGCTCCGCCCCCCACAGCCTCCGGGTGCACGACGAACTTCACGGACGTGGTGCTGGGCAGCCGCTTTCAGGCCGCGAACGGGGGCCTCAGCCAGCGCCTCACCAGCCCCGCTCTGGGCCACAGCGCCTGCCTGTGCAGACGTGCGGCGCAGCTCCTGACCCGCGAGCCCGCCGTGCAGGGCCAAGCCGTGGCATTTACGGTGCCGCGGCGCTGGCATCTCCACACGGAGCCCTACCTGCGATGCTGGCGAATATCTCGCTGACGCCAATCAGCACGTACTGGGGCACCTGCCACCATATGGGCAAGTCGGCCGCGAAGTACACGACCTCCCCGATGGTCTGGTTGATGGTCTTCTCCTTCACGAGGTCCAGCCTCTTGCTCTCCAGGATCCCTGGAATTCACAAGGCGGTGAGCAGAGCATCTGTCCTTGCCCTTCGCAGCTAAACTGAAAAGCGAGATGTTGGCTGCAAGCTGTTTGCTGAGTGCCTGAGGAGCACAGGAAAGGCTTATTTACGGCCGGCACTGTTGTAGTAACTACGTGCAGAGCCAGGCGGGCGCTAGGCTTACTGGGGGGTTGCTTTCTAAGGCAGATAGAGCTCTAGTCACCATGCCGTGAGCCTGAAACTAATATGATGTCGTATGTCAACGGTCACTGAGAAATAAAAACATTATTTTAAGGAAAGGACGATGTCTGAGGACACCGGGGCCCAAGGGCTCTCCAGCTCTCGGCTCCCTGGCGGGCGGCGGCGCAGGGCACAGCGCACACCCCTCGCCCGGCGTTCATAAAGCAGGCGCTCGGCGCTCACCTGCGCGTTTTGTTTCCTTTAAAGGGGGAGCAGGGAGCCCCGGCTGGTGAGGCTTGGTGGATTGAGCTGCGAGCTGAGCCGGCGACCGCGGCAGCCTCCCTCATAGGCGGCCTGGCCTCACCGCCCAGTGACGGGGCCTCGGGGCCAGCTGCTCCCCGCAGCGCGGCGACCCCGTAAGCAGGGCCTCGCCCGTCGCGTGTGACGGAGGGGCGCGGGGAACCGGCCGGGGCAGGGACAGCCGCTCTTTACCAAACCAGACGCGGCCCAGCGGAAGGCGGAAGGCGGCCGTCTGCAGGGCCACGGGCTCCGGGTGCCGATGCCCCCCAGCCGCACTGTGACGCGGCCCCGCGGCGGAGGGGACGCGGGCCCTGGCGCCCGCTGTGCGTGCACAGGCTCCGGGCGCTCGCCCCGCGGGGCGGGGCCGGGAGCAAGTGGGCGCCTGTCCCACCCTGCGGCAGGGGCGCGGAGACGGCCGTGGGGTCTGCCCCCAAACCCCGCGTCAAGAGGGTGTTTGAGCAAAGAGGGGTCATCGAGGGCCCCGGTGGGGACCTGGCCAAGCACAGTGACAGGCAAGCGTGCCCCACACACGGCCGCCACTACCAAACAGAAAATGAGGGAAAGGAGCATCTCAAGAAATGAGACAGATCATCACCAAAAAAACCCAACCTAACAGAAAGAGATTAATGACTTAATTCTTCACTTGGAAAACACAGAAAACAGTCCAAGTGGTGAGCGGAGAGCCACTTCCCTGGACCAACCGACCCTGAAACGCACACCGTGGGTGTGTCTGCTGAGAGCCGCGCACCCGGGCCCGGGCGCTGGAGTCGGGGGAGGCGGGGGGCTGACCACGGCCTGTTCTCCTCTCCACGAGCGGCTTCTGGGGAGCTTGACCGAGTCGCGGGGTCCCACCTCGCGGAGGCCAGGGGCCCGCACGGTTTTCTGGGCAAAGACCCGCAGCTTCCTGGGAGCAGGCGGAGGACAGGCCCGTGGGGTGGCTCCCGCCCCGGCGACAGGGCTGGCCGACCCCTCCGCGGAGCCCCGTGGCCCAACCTCACAGCAGGACCGAGGCCACAGGTGCCGGACGAAGGCGCAGCTTTCAGCAGGGCCCTTCACAAACGGGGGTTCCTGCTGAACCCCGACGTTGTTGAGCAGCAGCTCGTTGGTGTGAATTAAAAACACAAGTAGTGTAGGGGGACAGGGTATGTAATTCTCTTAGAAACGCAGTAAGACACCTGAGCAAAATCCAACATTCTTTTTGGCCGGGAGCACTCGGTGCCTCGAAGGAAGGGCAGGCACTGGGCATCTCCACGAGCAGAATCGCGAGCTCGGGGGCAGAGGCGAGAGGGGAGAGGCCACGTCGCAGCGCGCTGTGGGGGCGCGCTCCCCCAAAGCCGTGAGCGAGAGCCGCTGTGGAGGCGGCCGCCTGACAACAAGTCCCCGAAACTCGGAACTTTAAAGAAGCTCACGTCAGAGCAACCAGAAACACAGAAAGTACTCAGAAATAAACAATGTGAAGCATAGGACCGAAATGAAGGAATGCACGAGACTGTGCAAGACGCTGGAAGCAAAGTTAGAGGGGACCGTCTCAAATTGGAAAAAACATGTGGTGAGATACAATTCTGACTAATAATAACCCAACTAATAATAACCGTCAACAGGAAAAGGAGAAGCCCTAGAAAGGGGGCGCAGCGCGGGATGGAGCGGCCGGCGCCCCGGGGGGTCGGCGCCCACACGCCTGAAAACCCTCGGGGGGCCGAGCTCCCCTATGCTCGCCAGGCGGCCTGGGGTCAAAGGAACAGAGTCAGCGCCGACAGGAGCTGCGGCCGGCACCTGCTCCGGGGACCGGCGGCCACTGCAGCCCAGAGCGCCTCCCTCGTGGGCGGTCCCCAGCCTGGCCCACGGCCTTGCCTCACGCCGGCGAGACTGAGAGGGGAGGTGGTCCGAGCCAGAACCCACTGGAAGCGCCCGGAGCCCAGGCGCACCAGGCTCAGAGAGAGGCTGCCCGCACTGGAAGATCCGCGGGGCCCCCTGCAGGCGCCTGGGAGAGGGGGATGGTCAGACAGACAGACGCCGCCGGTGGCCTCACAGACCCCCGATCGGAGCGGCTGCCGCCCGTCCTGTCTGCCCAGGAGACACCCGGGGCTCACAGTGTCACCGTCATCCAGACACAGCCTCTAACTACCCGTTTCATCCAGAGAAAATGTCACTGTCTGCGAAGGTGTCCTGGCCCCGCATGAGCCTGGGGACTCGGTCCGTTACAGGCGGCGGCCCTCGGTCCCCGCCCCTGCCCGCGAGCCACCCTCAGCGCGCACCGGCGGGAGGCGAGGCCGGAACGCCAGCTTTGCTTTTCTGGTTACAACACAAAGCTATTTTACAGCACAATAGTTTTCAAATATTAATGAACAAAGAAATTCAAAGAAGTTGAAAAAACCAGCAATACCTCAGCTTTGTGGCAGGAGACATTTCAGTCTAGACTCCAGAACAGAGGAATAACGGAAACAGAACAGGTCCCGGAGGCGGTAACCCCCCGCCCCCGCCCCCGGACACACACGTGGGGTTCCGCGTGCACTGAACAGAACGGGGCCGGGCCCACGGAGGCCCGCAGGCAGACCGAGTTGGGAGCCTCAGGGCGATGCACAGCTGTGCGAGCCCCCCCGCCCCCCGCGCGGCTGAAGCCCCCCCCCCGGGGGCGGGGCCGGACAGGCTTCCAGGACCCAAGTCCCAGCCACTCCCCGGAGCTCGGCCCTGGTTCTATTCCAGACAACAAACAGCCAGTCCCCCGAGAACCTCAACTGCGGACGATGGGGAGCGCGAGAGGGGCGGCACCGGTTAGTGACCGCGCACCCTGGAAGCGCACGGCCCGGGCCCCCGCGGTGCGCAGGGGCCGTGTCAGCGGGAGGCGCGGAGGCAGCTTCTCACCGGCAGCGAAGGCGGAGCACATGACGAAGAACATGCCCACGGCAATCCTCCTCAGGGACGACGGCAGCCAGCCGCGCCGCCGCAGGGCCGGGTCCACCAGCTTGTCCTTGAGGGGGATGAGCAGCAGAATGAGCACCGCGTCGAACATGGTGAGCCAGGCGGCCGGGAACTGGGGGCAAGAGGCACAGCGCGGTCACTCCCTGCGGGGCCGGCGGGGGGCGCGGCTGCCAGTGCGTTTCTACAGCCTAACCGCCTCGCAGAAAGGTCTCAGCTTAAGACATCAGAACCGAGGAGGCTTATTTCTAGATGGAGTTACACATATTTTTCTGCACTTCAAGGGGGCGAAGAATCAGGTGTAAATACTCCTTAGTCACCTGAACCCAACAAATGACAAGCAATGGGAAAACAGTCTCTACAATAAATGAAAACCGACCACTGCTCAGGTCTTTGAGGCACCGACCAGGACAGGAGGGGGTGCCCCTCGTCCTAGAACCCGGGCGCCACTCGGACCCTGCCCCATCCTCACCGTGTGGGTGGCGGCTGTGATGCTGGAGATCTCTGGAATCCGCAAGTGAAGGCTCTGCAAGACGTACGTGGTCTGCATCTGTGTGGGGAAGCGGCGCTGTCAACGGCGGGCAGCCCGGCAGCTTGGCCGCCGCACACGCAGCGCCAGGGCCGGGACAGACACGTCTGCCGTGCGGCCGCCACAGACCCACCTGGGGGCCAACTTGAAAAGGAACTAAGAGTTGTCCGAGTGAGAACTCAGAAGGAGAGGCGGGACCGGGGAAAACGGAAGGGGAGCCTTTCCTAGCTTCCTCTTTTGGAAAAAATTCAAAACATTTCCATCAGCAAAAATGAGCTCATAACTAAAACCAAGACACCGAGAGCCTACGGCCTTGGGGAAAAGACCCTTGGACCCCTCTGGAGGCCAGGACGGCCAGCGCCGGCCGGGCTCACACCTGCAGGAGAGAAGGGAGGGGCCCGGGGCCGCCACTCACTTGGAAGTACACCGTCCAGTACGGTATCAGAGCCAAGAACACAGGGACAATCTTGACCAGGGCTCTCACGTCTTCCACTTTGTCTTCCGTGAAGGGCCCTCCACGGGACATCTTACATGAATCAAACAGACTGTGTTTAGAAGAGTGCAGAAAGCCTCCACTGCCTTCACTTCGGGAAACAAAATGAAGGAGTTAGTTTGCTTCCCGCCCGGAGAGCGCGTCTTTGGTCACAACTTAACTTGCGGGGGGCGGGGGGGGGGGGCGGCGGCACGGCGCTTGGGTCAACATCACGCCCGCCTCCTAGAGGCGAGGCTGCTCCTGAACCCCCGGATGCCGGGCCGCGGGCAGAGGCCCCGCGGCTCCCGCCCCAAGCGAGGCCACGGCACCGGGCGCGGCCCCGGCTGCGGCTGCTCTGTCCCCGCACCCTCCCACGGCCACGCGGCGCTGCCCCGTTTCTGCCCCGTTCCGATTACTCATCAGGTGTCCAGGCCCGACCCCCAAACCGAGGCGATTAATGAGGACGCCGTGCCGGGTGTTTACAGAGCGGACACTGCGGGGCCCGTGCAGGAGGCGGCCGTCCTGGCAGGCCACGCTGCCGCCCCCGATGCGAGGGAGAGCCCACAGGAGAGGGACCCGCCGCCTGGCAGCAGGCGAGGCCCAGCGCTCCGTCCTGCACCCCACCCACAGGCCGGCGGCCCCCCACATGGGTGGGGGCCAGGGCACAGGGAGGGCCCAGGCAGCAAAGCCACGCTGGGCTGGGATCTGAGCCCGGGCCGGGAGCGCGGGCCCGGCCTGGGTGGACGCCAGTGGCCCCTCCGCGCCGGCGCCCAGGCGCGCTGTGGTCAGCAGCCGGGCCTCCGGCCAGGACGGCACGTTGAGCAGCTCCGCTCACTCGCCCGCCCGGGGTCTGTTTGGTTCTGTATCACACGACCACTCGGGACCTTCCCACGTTCCCAAACACTCTAATGTGGGGACACACTCTAAGGTCCTCAGGGCAAAACAGAAAAGCAACTTGTGTCAACTGCACAGTGTTCTTCAAAGTCAGAAGAACAGGAGACACTTTGTTCCCATTAAGATCACTGCCAATGTGGGGACCTGACCGTCAGTGGCAGCCACGTGCTTTCGCGTCTACAAACTGCTGCCCCTTTGATGGTGTTACCAACTATTTTAGACCATTTTGTCTTAGAGTGTTGTCATTTTAAATATGAACCTTCAGAATACATTAAAAGTTCAAAACTGTAACTTAACATTTGGGATAAATTTTGGACAGAAAAACGAAGTTTTACTGAGCACCTACTGTCTGCCCAGTCCTGTTTGACCTGGGTACTGGGGATCCGTGAATAAATTTAAAAGCTGTTATTCCTATCCTTATGCAGCTTTGTGTCTTAGGAGAAATTTAAGGAGGGAAGCGGAGTCCAGACCCTGCGCCCGCGGGCCACGGCGTCCTCCTGCCCGAGGTCTGCCGGCACCGGCCGTGCAGCCACCGCCCTGGCGGGGGCTCCTCCAAAGGACCAGGTGCATGAGCGGCCTGGCATTCCGGCGGCCGGGAGGCAGGCCGGGCTTTCCCACGGGGAAGCCGCCCCGGCTGAGCGCAGGGACATGTTGCGCGGGCAGAATGCGCTGCCTGCGAGGGGCCAGCGGGGCCAGCGGGGCCAGCGGGCCCGCCCGGCATCTGGGGCTGAGCAGGAGGCCACACCGCCCCAGGCCCGCAGGTCAGCCGGGACGGCGGGGGAGGCCAGGGTGCCCGGCAGCAGCCAGGAGGGGCCGCAAAGGCTGCTCCAGGTCCGCTTCCGATCTGTCCCGCAGGAGGACACAGACGTTGCTGTGGCTCCAAGGACAAAGTGAGACCCACGCGGACCAGCGTCAGCTGAGGAGGCAGACGTGGGGCCGTCCGGTTGGCTCAGGGAGGGATAGAGCCCCACACCGGGAACAGCGACCTTGACCAAAGCGTCCCTGGGGCGCCGACTGAGCCCGTCCCCGGGACTTCCCTGAGGCGCTGACTCATGCCAGACGCCGACCACACTGGCGGCACAGTGTGCCATGAACTTGTCACATGCCCCGAAACTGCACGCCCAAAAGGGGTGCATTTTACTACATGTAAATTATCCTCCCATAAATAACCAAAGAAAAGTATTCTGAGGACTCTTCTCGGGCTATGTTCCCAACCTCTCTGCACGCGTCTGCATGGGAGTGACTGGCCCGCCCGTCTGGCCCCTTTGCCCGGGACCAGGGGACTTCCCCGGGACACGGGGCTTTCAGCTCTAAAACCCCAGCCCACGGGGCTCTCAGGGCTTGCACTGGGGAGCCCCGTGCCGGTGGGACAGACTGCCCTCGCCGCTGCGGGGACACTCGGTTCGGTTTCGCCCACGGGGACGGCAGCTGCGTACCGCGGGGGCCTGGGGGGCCGCCAAGGGAGCACCTGCTGCGTTCCCCACTGTCACGGGCCGCAGCGTGCGGCGTGTGAGCAGGCGCCCGCCTTTCCCAACACTGTCCCGCTGGCCGCCGGGGCCGCCCCAGCACCGACGGCGAGGCCTGTGTGCAGGGAGGAGACAAGAAGCCCGCACGCGAGTCAGGCCTGGCCGGCCTTTCAGGCAGGGATGCCACTGCACACGCCCCCTCACGCCGCCGTGAGTCAGGGACACACGCCGTTCCCACGGCTCAGCCCGCGCCCCGCACACGGTGAGCACGTGACAGACGGAAGCAGGCACGCTGACCGCGGCGCCGGCCGGTCCGGGACCGAGCACTCACCCCCCGCGATCGCCGTCTCCGGGGCGCTTCTGGGGGCGGCAAGAGTAGGCCAGGATCCGGCACACGTCGGTGAAGGCGCTGCCGTCGGGCGGCTTGCTGACGAAGACCCTCTGGCCGCAGAGGAAGATGAGGAAGGCGACGCCGATGCAGACGGCGGGCACGGTGTAGCCGGCCACGAAGCTCACGTTCTGCTGGGTGTAGGCGATGCCGCCGAGCGAGACGATAGCGCCCAGGTTGATGCTCCAGTAGAACCAGTTGAAGAACCTCCGCGTGGCCTCCGGGCCCCGATCTTTAACCTGAAGGGAAGGGGAGAAGGCCGTAGGGCGGTGCGATCCTCCTCGAGGATGAAAAACGTGCGTGTTTTATATACTAAAAATATGTTTACAGAATCACTGTTGCCAGCACAGCCTCCAGGACAGCAGCGCGACCAGACCGTTCACAGGCCCACGCAAGGGCCCCGGGAGACAGGCGCCTGCGCCCCCCGTTGCCGCATCACCCGGCCGTGCGCCCTCTGCTGCGCTCAGCCCAGCCAACGCTGGAAGCCGCAGCTGCCGGCTGTGGGCCGCCTGCCCCTGGCAAACGCCGGCTCCCTCGTCCCCGCTGGGGCTGGGGGTATCACAGACTGAAGCTAAAGCCACGGCTGGTTTTAGGTCAGCAAGGCTGCTGCTGGGACCAGGGACGCTGACGTGGAGAGATTCCTGCAAGGCGCGGGGGTCACTGATTTCCCGAACTCGGACAGACGCAGGCGCGCTCAAGACCCCTTACTCAAGACCACCCACACGGGGCAGGCCCCGCCCCACTCCCTTCGCACCGGCTCCACGTCCACGCAGACGCCGCCAGGACGGGCTCCACACCCGCACGGTGCGCGGCCCGCTCCAGCCAGGCCAGTGCTGGGTCAAAGGCGGAGCCCGTCTTGGCGGCGGCCTCAGGCTCTCCTGCGCCATCCTTCCGTTCTGTGTCAGGAAAAGCTCGGACAGGTTCCATTCCAGTGACAGATTTGAAGGCTAGTTACTACTTCCTCTTCCATGTAACAAACGAGGTTTTTAATGGAGGCTCACACATCCGGTTTTAAGACACAAAAAAGCATCTTTTAAGCAGCCCTATTACTTGATACATTACAATAACCTGTATTTCTTACAGTGGTGGCAAGTGCTAGAAGTAGTTATAAAGCAGCCACCATCTCAAACTGAAAATCTAAATTTTAAGCCAGCACATTCCCGCGAGGAGCTGTCACGCACCCCTCCCGTGTCCGAAAGGCACAGCGGGCCGAGGCCGAGGCGGCTCCCGAGGACGCCACGTGCACGGGGGTCCTTGTCACTCTGAGACAGGCCGCTCCGCACAGAGCCGCGTGCGTTGCAACGCGCTGAGCCGCGCTCGGAGGCTCAGCTCTCCCGGAGCCGGGCCAGAGGTGAAGAAAGCGGGAAGCAGAGAGATGGTTACACAGAAGGCGTAACTGAAGATGTAAAAACGAGTAAGTTTTTTCGGGGGGGAGGAGCTTAAAAGGGAAGAGGGCCAGTGAACGTAAATCTAAAGTACTGCAAACAAATTCACGTCCCAACTGAACTGCACTTAGACGCAGCCTCTTCCAACAGAGCGTGACCAAATCAGCGCTCACGTGGTCAGCAGGCAAGCTCCCGACCTCAAGCGCCCACTCAGCCTCACATCCCGTGCAAACCTGCCAGTCGCCTTAGGTATCTTTCTTATTTTTATCTTACTGGTTTTAGAGAAGGAGGAAGAGAGGAAGAGAAAGAGAAACATCCATTTGTTGTTCCACATATTGTTGCACTCACTGGTGGATTCTCACATGTTCCCTGACTGGGGATTGAACCTGCAGCCTTGGCGTATCGGGACGACGCTCTAGCCAGCCAAGCTACCCAGCCAGGGCAGCAGTAAACGTATTTAAACTTTCAGGTGCCACTGACCAAAATCCACCTTAGAACCCTGGCCCGTGACTGGGCCCGGAGAAACGCACACCGGCGCCTGTGGGCAACAAAGGGAGGCTGTTCCCTGCGAACTGCGGGCCCAGCCTGGCGCCCGGGGCCGGGGCGGACACGCCAGGGGCCTCACTGCGTGTCAGTCACAGGACACCGCCCCCCCAGCCCCGCCCCCAGCCAAGGGCGAACACGCGCGCCCTGTGACTGCGCCCGCTGACGGGGAAAAATTCCTTCAAATGCACCGGAGCCTGACTTTTCCCCCCTCCAGGGAAAAGCGTATAATTTGCTCTCTTTATTGGTAAATCAGTTTTTCTTCATTCAGGTCACTATTTTAAGTCCTTGACCCATCCAAGCAGACGGTGTGACGTGAAGGTTACACATTGCGGGGAAGGCGGGGCTGGCAGGGTCGCCTCACAACCTAACACCCCCAGAACCCGCGCCCCTGCCCCCCTCCTGCCAGCCCAGGGCTCCGCACTGCCCCCCGCCCTGGGGGTCTCCCAGAGGCCCTCCCTGGGAGGCATCTAAGACCCGCGACTGCGCAAAAAGCACTTTAATGACACAGCAGCTTCCCTCACCATGAGAAGGGCCGCAGGTGACAAAATGGCCTGTCCTGAGGAAGGGCCCAGCACGCGTCATACCCCAGGCCACAGCCTGTCCCCAGGCAGCTAGCACCTGGGGTGGGGGGCGCCCCTGAGACCCCCTTCAGGCCCCCGGCACGGAGCAAGGCCCGCGCACGGTACCGACTCCTTCCGGCTGCGTGGCCTGCGAGGAGCGTGGCTCACGTGGAAAGCCCGCCCTCGGGAACGCCCGGCTGAGCGTTCTTGTCCGCTCAGCGTCGTGGAACCAGCTCCACCTCCAACGCCACCCTCTCCCCCAACCACGGGAAGCCGAGTCCCTCTCCAGGCCCCGGCGACCGCTGGCCCCTTCCGGCCGGTACAGACCTGCCCCTTCCGCACGGTTCCCGCCTGTGGAATCACACGCACGTGGCCTCTGTGTCTGGCATCTCTCAGTCAGCGTCGCGTTCAAGGGTCTGCACGCTGTAGCTGCCCCTGGCTGAGCGGCACCTCTCGCACGGGCGCGCCAGTTTGCTTCATCCATGCAGCAGTGGACAAATATCTTTTTAACCTCTTATTAAAATTTTTTTACAGTGGAAGTTGAAAGAACAGTGAGACATACACCTCTATACCCTTCACTGACACGCACACATAGTTCTTCCTTCCCACATACGTGTGGAATACTCTTCAGGCTCAGCTTTGCAAAAATAAGTTGCAGCATCCTATTTCCCCCCAAAGACTTCATCATAAATCTCCTAAAAACCAGGCCACTCTTTCACGTGACCGCAACACCATCCTCATGTCTAAGAAACACCACGTCGACACAAATGTCAACAAAAAGTGCTTTAAAAAAAGTCTGAGTGCTGAGTCTAGCGTGGTCCTGTCTTCCATGACAGCGCCAGGTTTGAAGGGTCAGGCCGTCTCGTGCAGAAGAGAACACACTTCTTTTTAACGCCCACATTTAACCGCACATCAGAGGAGGGCACGTCCTGTCATGCATCCCAGGTCACCTCTACAGGACCATCTGTGCTTCCCAGAAACCATTTCGTTTCCCAGCTGTTGTCTCCTGGGGGGCACTGGCTTGGGGGTCAGACCCCCGGAGGTTCTTGCAAAACAGGCGCCGTTACAGTATCATCAGCCACCGGGAGGCTTACACAGGACAGTGTGGGAAGAGCCCTGTGAACACTAAGGGACACACACACAAGATAAACACTCGTGGGGCACTTCGGTCCTGTGACCGGGCCTTCGGCGGTGGAGGACAATGGTGCCCCCAGCTCTGTGCCGTCGCTGCTGTCCCCCGAGGCCAAAGCCACAAGCCTGGGCCCTGAGAGCCAACCCTGCACCAACAGCCGCAACCCCCACCCCCACCCCCACCCGCCCTTACACGTCGCTGCCTTCCTGTGATGGCGTCACACAGGTGTGGTTAGAGCTCAGGCTCTGGGACCCTGGCTCGGTGACACACTAGCTGTGTCACTTGGAGCAACGGCGCTAACTGCTCACGCCCCACATTTCGTCCTCGGTGAAACAGCCCAGTAACAGCTGGGGCATCTTGGGGGTGGGCAATCCCGGCACAGGCCCTGGGGTAGGGCAGGCCCTCAGTAAACCGACCAAGCACGGGTCACTGCTCACCCCTTCGCCCTAACCTGCCCCAGCACCCCCCCCACGACCTGGCCAAGCCTCCCCCTCCCCTGGCCAGGGTGGGCCTCCGCCCACACAGCCCAGGCTCAACCCCGGGCACCTGCCAGCTCTGTCTGGGAAGGGGGAGGGAAGAAACATTTTAGGTTTCGAGAGTCACTCAGTCTGTCACAACTACCGAACCCGCCACTGTGCTGGGGCAGCAGCCCCTCCTGAGAGGCCCCGCCGGACTGTTCCAGTGAGGCTTTGCCTACGGAGGCTGAAATCTGAGCTTCATAACGTTCACAGTCACGAAATACCCATTTTTCCCCCAACTAGTTAAAAGCTCAAGGCCCAGTCTTATTTTATTCTTAGCCCCAAAAACAGGAACTAGCCAGATTTGGTTGGCAGGCCGCAGCTGCCAGCCCCAGGGCGCAGAGGCGAATCTGTTAGAGACGCAAATCAGATCAGATCACTCCCTGATGATCAGATCGCTCCACACAGGCGTCCGACTGGAGTGAACCCAGACCTCCAGCTCCTCCGCGCAGGGAAGGGCCCGCCCCGCCTGCCACTCTCTCCCCACTTTTTTTTGGAATGTAATTGACATGTAACCTTGTATAAGTTTAAGGGGTAGAAGTACTGATATGATACACGTGCTGCAACGTGATTGCTACTGTAGCCACAATAGCAACAAGGGCTGCCTCTTTTCCCGACCTCGGGGAGTCCGCACTTGCCGATGACATTCTGCAGGTGTCCGCTCAAACGGCCCCCCTGTAGCAAGGAGGTCCCCCTACCTGCAGCCACCCTCGCCAGCACCCCGCAATGGCCCTTCCTAGGTAGGAGGCCGCGCCTACGCGCAGCTCCCCCTCGCCGCGCATCCAAGCGCCCCGCCCGTGTAGACCCCTTCTCTGGCCCCGCCACGGCCTGTCTCCAGGGCCTCCGCGCGTCCGCGCCCCCCGCCGGCTGCACCTGCGCTCACCTGGTCGGCGCCGAAGGGCGTGATGTTGGCCTTGACGGCGCCCACGCCCAGGCCGACCACCGCGAGCGCCCCGAGCGCGGCGGGCGCGCAGTAGCGGGTGGGCGCGTCCAGGCAGGACGGCGCCGAGCAGTTAAGGACGCGCGTGGGGTGCGGGGTCCCGCAGAGCGCGGCGCGGGTGGCGGGCGCGGCCAGCAGCGGGAAGGCCAGCATGCCGAGCAGGTAGAGCGCCAGGCTAAGCAGGATGGCGCGCGCGCGGCCGAGCCGCGCGTCGGCCAGCCAGCCGCCGAACGGCGACACCAGGTAGGTGAGGCCCATGAAGAGCAGCAGCGCCTGGCTGGCCTGCGCGCCCTCCCAGCCGAAGGGCGCGCCGTTCAGGAACAGCACCAGGTTGGCGGTGACGCCGTAGAAGGCGGCGCGCTCCAGCAGCTCCGTCAGCAACACCGCCGCGCACGCCAGCCGCCGGCCCGCGAACGCGGCCCGTCGCGCGCCCAGCAGCGGCGCCCGCTCCTCCGCGCGCCCGTCCGCGCCCTCCATGAACCCGCCGGCCCGCTCCGCCGCTCTGCGGGGCCCAGCTGGCGCCCTTCTCGCGAGACTGGCCTCACCCGCCGCCTCGGCCCGCCCCCCGGGCGTTCTCATTGGGCGAGCTCGCTGCCGTGCCGTTCGCCGGGAGCTTCCGGTACCGCCCCGGAAGCTTGCCAGAGGCGGGGCCTTGAGTGCTGCGCGTAGTGGGGCCGGCGGGCGGAGAGGGACCCAGGCGCTGGGCTTGGCGAGCGACTTCTGAGCCGTGCCCTGCGGTCCCAGAGCCCCGGCTGCGAGAACCCAGACCGTTAGCGGCGTCCGGGGCCCGCCTGCCGCGCGGCCGTCCCTGCGCCCGCTCCCGGCGCTCCTGCGCGCGGACGGGGCTCGGCCTGGGCACGCTGCCACGTGGGCAGCTGCTTCGCGGCGCGGGCGCTGTGCTCTGCTCCGTGGCGCCGTGAGCGCCGTCCCCGGCTTGCGCTCCGGCTGCCCGGTTGTCACAACCGAAAACCTCCCCGGACACCCTCAAGTGGGCCCTGGGCAGCCACTAAGAACCCCGGCCCTAGAGCACGCCGAGCCCGGAGTCTGTTCCCTGGCCGCGTGGCACCCCGCTGCCTCCAACTCAAGTCCGGGTCGGTCCATCGAAAGTCGCCCCGCCCGGTCCCACTACCTGCTTTGCTTCCTCCACAGGCCCTGTCGTGCTTGTTGTCCATGCCTCTGTCTCCCCAGCTGGTCCGTGGTCCCCACAAGCACAGGGACGGGGTCCTGCTCTTTCCTGTTCCTTCCCCTGCCCCCTGCGACCCACAGCAGGGCCGGGCGTGAGGTGGGGTAACCGCCAAAGGGTCCGGCGTTTCTGTAGTGACGGCCATGTTCTAAAGTCGATGGTGGGGATGTTCGCGCAAGGCTGCGAGTGTACTCAAAACCATGGAATTGAACGCTTTATTTTTCATTTATTTTTATGGAGAGAAACATCCATGTGTGGTTGCCTCTCAGGCGCCCCCTACTGGGGACCTGGCCTGCCACCCAAGCATGTGCCCTGGGTGGGAATCGAACCGGCGACCCTTTGGTTCACCAGCCAGAGCTCAGTCCGCTGAGCTGCACCAGCCAGGACTGAACTGAACACTTCCAATGGGTGAACTGTGCAGTATGTGAGTTGTGTCTCAATAAGGCTGTCGTCCCCCCAAAAGTGAGTTAACGCTTAAAATCTGGGAGGCTTCACAAATCTTTGCGTGCCCCGCTGCTGAAAAACCAAACGAGGGCTCTGGCGACAGAGGGGCTTGCACCACCCAGGCCGCCAGTGGCCAGCCCCCTGCCCCCCGTGAGTCACGGCACAGGGGGCCCCCCACCTGCGAGGCGGCGGATGCGGCAGAAGGGTCCCGGGGCCGGGTCGGGCCTCAGCCTGCCGCAGGCCTGGCTGCTCCGACTGTGGGCCCGTAAGAGCCCCGAGCCCGGAGGAGGTCGGGCTGCGTTGCCGCAGCCCCGCGGGGAGGGACAGTGAGCCCCGCTGTGGAGAGGGAGGGGTCCCGTTCTGCAGCGCCGCTCCCCTCCCCGTGATTGAAGCCTCACAAGCAACTAGCAGCCAGAGTGACAGAAAAACGGCCCCACTGGGCCCCACCCCAGGTGGCAGAGTTGTGCCCAAGTAACGCAGTGGTGATTTTAAACCAGCGCGTTCTGGGGCAGCCTGGTTCAGCATGGTCGGCATCAGATCCTGGAGACACGCCTGCCTCCCCCAACCCAGTGTCGGCTGACGCCAGGCCGCAGCCACTGCCACACGGGCACGGAGCTGCCGCCTTACCGACGTCCGCCCTTTCGTCTGTTTCTTACAGTAAAGAAACTACTCTCCACACCTGCACTGCACTCCACATCTAGCCTCCCACGGCCGTTTGAACAACACATTAGTTCACACTGAGTAAAGTGAACAGTTCTGTCCCTCCGTCACACCAGCCACGTTTCAGGTGCTCGGGTGGCACAGGGGACTAGCGGCCTGCCGGACAGCCCTGCGCTGCTGCTGTGCAGTGGGCGCGGCGGGTCACCCCTCCCACCGGAATCCCGACGCCACCCAGGTGGCTGTTTACAGCTTGTCCTCACCCCTCCCCGCCTGCCCGCTGCCCTCGGAGGCGGGAAGAAACCGACGTGGCGCTCGCCCCCCGGTCTGGCTAGGGCGGCCGTGCTGCTGTCGCCTGCCCCCCGACAGTGACGGGGTCAGGAGCCCAGACGCCAGCCGTTCAGGGTGTGAACTTCGCCGCCCCCGCCCAGGGGAAGACCCGGGACAGGGCTCGGCCGGCCAGGCTGAAGGGAAGGACCCCGGGGAGACGCGCTGTTCCGCATGGGCCGGCGCGGGGCGGGGAGCCCGGAGCCCCGACCGCTGCTGGTGGCTGCGCCCCGCCGGGGAGACGAACCGGTTCGCGATGCGACCGCCCTGGGGGAGGACACAGCAGAGACGGGGGAGGAGTTCGGTACCAAACTTGGGTGGTTCACCCGCTGCGCTGGATTCCCTTACAGCGGAGAGCCACCTACGGCGATCCTATCAAAAGCGCAGGAGAGAAGAAAACAGGGGAGGGCAACTGGCTTCTCCCGCCAGCCGGGTGCAGGCCGCTCGGAGGGTTTTCTGCCCGGCCCGTCACGGTGAGCTGGCAGTCGCGTGCTGAGCCCCCTGGGTTGCACAGCTCAAGGCCTAGGGTGAGGTGACACTTGACACTTTGTTGGGTCTGCCCGTGCCTGGAAGTAGTTTATGAGTCTCTCTTGTGCACCAATCATCAAGTAAGCAAATGACCTCACGCACACAGCAGGTGTCCCCGGGAGGGCCACGGCGCCTTGCAGGGCAGCCTCGCGTGGCCTCCGCACTCCGGAGCCCTCCGAGGAGGGGGCCCTCCGGCCGGGACGCCCGGGGCGTGAACGGGATTGGAAATGCACGGCCCTTCCTGGTCCGTCCCTGCCCGTCCCCTGTGCCCTGCTCGGCGCAGTGCTGAGAGCAGGTGACAGCGCGATCCAAAACCCCCGAGCGGCGGAGGGCGTTTCGGGCGCCGGCGGGTTCTCTGACACCCTTCGTGACGTGCCTGCTTCTCCTCCCGCAGCTGCATGTCCCACCCTGCGGTCCCATCTGCTCGCTCAGTTTCAGCTTCCCCAAAACGCTGGTCCTCCAGCGACCGTCGCGGACGTTGCACCATCCCGACGTCCCTCACCTGCTCCCCACGTTGTGACAGCTCAGTGTCACACGCGTGGCCCACGCCTCTGCCTGTCTGGTTCCCGGTCCCCCACCGAGCTCGCCTTTGGGTGCCAGGCTGTGGCCCGTGTCGTCGGCTACGGCGCAGCCAGAGGCCCTGCGGCGCAGCTGTTGGCTCCCCAGCGATGGAGGCTTGCCCTGGGTTCTCTTTACTTCTGGGAGCGCCCGTGGCCGCACTTCGGCCTGGCTGCAGCTAACCTGGGGAGGCGCGAGAGACACAGCAGCTGGGACAGAGCAATCGGCGCGCTGGAACCCTCCGCGCGTGCGCCCTGTCTGCAGCCCCTCGGAGCCCCCACCCCGGGGCGTGAGGCCATTCAGCTCTCAAGGAGACTGGAGTCTACGTTCACAGAGGATGTGAGAGTGTGTGGCCAGGACGGGGGATTTGGATGTGGCCTTTTCTCAAGCTCTCCTTTCAGGGGACCCCGGCGAACGGCAGCCTCTCACTTCCTGGGTTCTTTCCAGCCTGCGTTCTCAGGGCCCGCAGGACACCTGAGAGAGGGAGGCAGAGACGGGCTGGGAGAAAGCGAAAGGGCGGCTGGCGCCCGCCCGCTTCCTCCCACCAGCAAACGCGAAGACGCGAGGGAACGGGGACCACACCCAGCCGCCGCCTCAACTGCCGCTTTCATAACCCTCACACGCATCTGAAGCCATGTTGCGGTCATGGAACGACAGCCGGAGTTACAGGTGTTTTTGATTTTAAGATCAGGCCTTACAGAAAAGATCAATAGAGATGAACGCAAAGGACAAGACCTGAGGCGCTGACCTAATATAACCCGGCTCGTAACGACATAGGCACCTCGGGCCCGTGGGGAGAGGAATGGGCGCAGCAAGTCCCACCGGAGGAAGCGTGTGTAAAAACAGGACGAGAAACCGTTGGCGAACACAAGCTCTTCGGGAGGGGAGGCTTTCCGGAGCCTGCAACACGCAAGCCGTAAAGGAGCAGCACATGGATTTAGCTACAGGAAGACTTAAAATGCATTTGTATAAAAAATAATTTCAGCTATCAGTAAACTGAAAAAGTATTTGAAATACACATGACAAAAGCTGATGTTCTTATGTGTAAAGAGTTCTTAGGAATCGTATGAAGTGTATTGGACAAACATCCAAAACCAAAACCGTCCAAGTGCACGGCAGGCTGCGGAGGACAGCGGTCCCCCGGCCCCCGCCCGCGCTTTCCTCCCGCAGCGGTGCCGGATTTTCAGGTGGGGGCCGCCCCGGCTGGGACCCTCACGTGAGTGACTGGCTCAAAGGCGAGCTTGCGACCCGAGCTGGTCCATGACTTATTCTGGAAAGAAAAACTGTCTCTGTCCGCTGGATTTGCCATTATGGAGCTAGAAGCCTGGCGTTCCCAGGGCCCGCTGTGTGGCAGCCGAGAGCTAAGCGCCCGGAAGATAGCGACAGAGAGAGAAAGGCCTTGTTTCAAAATGATGTTCTCTAGGCCTTGAGACTGACCGTGGCTTAAAGAGGCCTTATTTTTTTTTCTTTCCTCCCTGGACATTTCACTTGTGAGCCCGTATGTCCTCTTTCTGATGAGGCAAACGTGGCGTTCTGTCACTTGGAACGGAAAACGTCCCAACTCACACAAGCAATACATATACCTGCGTGCACACAGAGGAAAGAAAAAAGGCAAATGCCTTCATGAAAAAAACAGTTCAAATTACACCAGTAATTTCAAAATGCGGAGAGAGAGGGGCACATTTTGTCACTCGCACTAAAAAATTCCCAGCGTTGACGGGGTTTTGGGAGATGAGAAGGCACACACGTCGATGCAAAGCGACCACTTGCGGAGGGGAGTCGGTCCTTCGCAGCGAGGCCGCATTCCTCTGCTCGGGGTGCAATCCCACTTTCCGAATCCAGGAAGGTGCTGGGACTTGGCTATGAAGTGTTCACCACAATGTTGCTTAAAGTAGCCCGAAGAAGGAAAACAGCAAAGTGTCCGGGGAGAGGGCATTGAGTGAACACAGAACAGGGCTCCATTCACTGGGATACGCCACAGCGGGTCCAACGGCATGGTGGCCGCAGGGCGCTGGGGCGGGGACGCGTTCCTGGCCTATCCCTGCAATAGGTTTCCCTCGCCGGTAACAAATCGGCACAACTCCGCCCACACCCCTACCTCCGCGGGCAGGCCCTGGCCGAGGTGGGCGTGCCGACCCGCTCTCCTCAGGTGACAAAGCGGAGATCCCACCTGGCTCCCCTGGGCCGCTGCTGTCGTGGGGAGCTGGCAGCTGGGCGCTGTCCTCTGCCCCCGGGGCAGCATCCTTTGCGAGGCAGCCCGGCCCCCCGCAAAGCAGCGGCAGGGGATCGTCCTGACGTCAAGCCCGGGCCTGCTTTGGCTCTCCGACGTCAGCGGGTGCCCGGCTTCTTGAGGGGGACGCTGCTGGGTGAGGCTGGCCACGCCTTCCGGGGCGCCGGCCCGGGACAGCGGCCACTTCTGCAAACTCCCTTCCTGGCGCCGCCGGGCGGGCCTTTGACTGAAGAACAGAGCGGGTGTCACACAGGAGGCAGGACGTCGTGGGGGCCCGGTTAGAGTTGTGCCCGCCACGATGATTACGTTAAAAAGAGCCACTTGCAAAATATATATATGTAGAGTGTTTCTGTTTCGGTAACAACAATGACAAACCGAGAAAGAATAAAGATCAACAACAAAAAAAGCACTGTGTCTCTGCAGCCGAGTCAGAGAGACACGGCGGAGGCCCCCTTGCCTCCTCGGGCCTCAGTTCCCCGTCTGTGAAGTGGGGAGAACGTCCCGCACGGGGGAGCGGGGGTGATCAGCCAAGCCTCCGAGGGCTCAGCACACGGCGCGGCCCGCGGAGCGCCCAGGAGAGGGGACTGTTTCACAAAGGCTGGGAAACTTGAAACCAAAGGGTTACTAACGCCGATCTCGGGGCGGCGGGATTCTGCGGCGCTTTACCTCCTGCTTCGTTCACCGGCACGCGTTCGGCACGCACTGGTGGTGTAATAAAAGTGAATCAATAACTTACAAGAACAAACGGGCTTCCGGGCGGGGCAGGCGGACACTGGGAGCAGACACAGCGCCTTCCCCTGGGTGACCTCCGTGGGCACAGACTCGGACCTGGGTCTCCGGTGAGATCAGCAGCGCGTCGCCCGCCGCGTGGTGCCTGCGAAAGCCCCTGGGACGAGCGCCCCCTTGCGGGACAGCGAGGAGTCCGTCGAGTGCTGCCCGCGGGAGGCCTGCCTCTCGCTGCGCCCCCCAGGTCTGGGGAACTTCTCCTGCTGGTTACGCAACAGGAGAAGGAACTGGTTACCAATAGATTTTTTTGTATGTGTCACTTTCAAAATCTGCCAGTGAAAGCCAGAAAAAGGAAACATAAGCGGGACTTTTAAACCACAAGTCTCCGCAGACCTCCTCCTCTGTGAGGGGGTAGGGCCCCCACGCTGTCCCCTGCACGCACGCCCAGCATGTGCGGTTCTCGCAGCTGCGCGGAGGGGGGAGCGCGAAGACCGGGGCCCCCGATGGGAGGGAAGGAGCCGGCCTCCCCTGTGAATGCCAGAAAGGCACACGCAGGAGAAAAAGGATGTCAAGTGTTGATTTTTAGCACAGAACCATTTCTGCAGTCAATATGCCCACGGAGCTCTCCCTTGAAAACGCGATCATTTTTATACAGGGTAGATAATAAAGTCTCATTTTCCCAGGCGCTGGAAACGAGAGAAATATGAAAGAAATAATCTGAACAAACACTGTGATCAGAGGAAAGCCAGGTTTTGCTTTACTCCGGGTGCATCTGGAGGCACCTCGGACGCTTCCTGGTCTCCCCCCCACCCCCGCCGCAGCTGTTTCCACCTTATCCCATAATAACGCGCTTGCCTTTGTCCCCTTTGGTGTCACCGGCTTCGGAGGATCATGAAGGACTTTGTCAAAATGCGCTCATGCATTGTGAGTCTGTCGGTAGTTGTTCTCATTTTACAAACGGAGAACGGAGGTAGTGAAGGGACCAAGGAGCAGGTCCCAGAAGGCATGCCGGTTGCTTCTCAACTCACAGGACAGGTGGATTCCAGGAAGATCGAGTAACTGCATGTCGGCCCAGCAAACCCTCCCCAGCACCCACCGAGGGCCAGGCCCACGGCCGCAGGGGCGTAAAACCTCCGAGGGTGCAAATTCAGAGACTTTGATTTAACACAGGAGGGCCTGTTCGCAGAACTTGGCCCCAGGCAAGCACGGAGGGGGGGGGGGTGAGCTGGCTGCTTGGGGATCCGGAACAGGCTGTGGTCAGAAGGGACAGACCTCGGGAGGAGGAGGGTGGGGGACAGCCCCAAATGAGGCCATGGAGCCATATGGGATATAGGGTCTGCTTAGCGGGTTGAGTGGGGACCCCGAAAAAGGTACGCCCTCCCCCTCGTTCCTGGAGCCTGTCACCTCTTGGTAACCATTATTTGATTCAGTGGCACCGTGCCCAGGTCAGGGATGGCATTTCCCAGCTGCCTTGGATGGTAGAGGTGCCATGTGGCCAATGAGATAAAGGCATAAGGGCCCTGTGACATCCAGAAGGAACCCAGGAAATACCACGCACCCTTTGAGGCGCACCTCCTTCCTGCCACGCCGAGTGTGGGCTGAGGGTGGGGCCCAGCAGCGGCCACACCTCCGGGCCACCCTGGGACACGTGGCCACACCCCTGTCGCCGGGGTCCTCCTGACCCCGGGGTGGTGCTGCCTCGTTGGGTGGATTTTTGCTCAAATTTAACACCTCTAGGATAACTCAGTTTATCTTTTCCCACGTCCAAAGGGAACGGGGCTTTCCAGGGCCGGTCGGCTGTGGGAGTGATGGCTGAGTATTGCCAGAGCTCCCGTTTTTCAAGGGGCATCAGAAATCCTAGGGCTGGTCCCCTGGGAGGGGACAAGGGCCGCCCTCGTCCCTGTGGGAGGGAATTGGCAACCACCCCGGTACACTGACCCACGGGGGTGGGGCCCGTCGACCCCTGGCCCCCACGGGAGCACCCGCAACCACCCCTGTCCCTGTCCCTGTCCCTGTGTGGGCGGGGCGGGACCCGGGGCCACCCCTGGTCCTGTGGGAAGGGACCTGAGGTCACCTCTGGCGCTCCCCCATCGGAGGAGAGCCACGCCTGGTCGCCTGGGAGCCTACGCCAGCCCACCCACAGCCCCTCTGGCTCCTCTGGCTCCTCTGGTCCGGGCCCCGCGTCCCGCGTCCCCCGTCCCCCTCCGGCTGGCGCCCCCTCGCGGCCCCGCGCGCCCGGACCCCGCGCAGGAACCGGCGAGCGCGGGCGCGGCCCCGGAGCCGCGGGCGGGACTAACCGAGCCCCGCCGTCGCCGCCCGGCCCGCGTCCCGTCCCCGCCCCCGCACCGGGTCGCGGCGGGCGGTCGATGGCCTGGCGGCGGCATGAGGCTCCTGTTCCTGGCGGTGCTGCGGCCGTGCACGGGCAACGCGGTCACAGCCCAGCGCGTCCGGTAGGTGCCGCGGCGCCGGGCATCGCCGGGGGCCGGGCCGGGGCGGGGCGGCCGGGGAGGGGGCGCGGGGCTCGGCCCGGCCTCATCCGTGCGCGCGCGCCAACGGCCGGCCGGCGGGGCCGCGGGGGCGCCGGGAGCTGGAGGGGGCCTCGCCCAGGGCCGCTCGGGCTGCGGGGGCGACTCGCTCGGGACCGGCCGGGCTCCCGCGCCCCCCGGCGCCGGCCTCCGCCACCAGCCTGTCGGAGGCGCTCCGTTCACCGGGCGCGCCCTGGCTGTGGGCCTTGGAGACGCTTACCTTCCCTGGGGACGGGAGAGTCAGAATAAAAACACGTGGCCTGAGGGGTGACATACGGATAATGTAACCGGGGCCAGGGCTGCGCGTGCGCAGGTGCCATTTCGGGCGGCGAGCCAGGGCGACCTGCGGGCCAACGCGGCGCGGGCGCCCAGTCCTGCGGGCCAAGCGGGGACCCCTGAGGCCGGGTCGGGGATGGCGCGGGGCGGACGACAAGGGCGAGGGCCCCCGTGTCCTCCCGCCGCGCTCTGGGCGCGCGCCCGGGTCCCACGTGCTGAGACGCCCACCCCCTGCCCGGCTCCTGGCTCCCCTTGTCTCCTCCCTGATTGTTTTTTACATTTACGTGTTATCTTTAAATTAAAAATACCTTTTTTCCAGTGACAGGTGACATTCAGTTTTATATTCATCTCAGGTAAATGGCGCAGTGGTCGCTGCCTGGTTACCTTCCTAACAGTCCCTGGTCCTGCGCTTCCCCGTTTTACCGGCTCTCTGTGGGGCACGCCCCCCCCCCCCCCCCCGCCCCCGATCCGCCCCCCCCCCCAAGGTGACCCCCGGCCCGAGGCGGGGCGGGGCCGGTGACTGCCTGGCGTTGAACAGAATCTCCTCTTTTTTTTTTTAATGTTGTATTTTTTTAAATAACAAACTGACTTGCTCCGTGAAATTTCTCAGTTTACTTCCTGCTGCGGGGCTGCCTCCTCCTCATGAACAGGAGCTGCGGGGCCGGCCCGGCCCTTCGTGCCCCCTCCACCTGGGCCGTTCCCTGGAGACCCGCGTGGGACTGGCCGGCAGCCCGGGGCCTGGGCTCCGTGCGTCTCCTTGGCCGCCCTGGGCGCACCGCTGGGTGGGTGGGTGCTGTGCCTGAGGAACCAGAGTGAAGGAGGCGATTTCAGGCAGTGCCGGTGCCGGACAAGCTGGGACCTCGGTGACCCGAGCAGGCAACCACTCAGAGGTCGGGATGACGGAATGGAGTGACAGGGGCGCACTTGTTAGAAGTGGAGCCGGGGGAGCGACGGCAGGCCCAGTGGAGCCTGGGTCCCTGGTGGGGGGGGGGCCCTCTGCTCGCTGGCCTCAAGGGCCAGGTGGCAGGTCTGGCAGGCTCCTACCCCCCCCCCCCCCCGCCCAGGCTGCACACGTGTCCAGGGGAGCCTCGCCCTTGCGGCGCGCCTCTCCAGCCAGGAAAACGGGTCGGGTGGCCGCTGCGAGTGAAGGTCAGCCACAGGCGGCTCTGGTGGGTTACACAACAGGGTCAGAGCCCCGGGAGACAAAGTTCGTTACACACGAGGCGGAGAAACGCATTGCACAAGTCGCGGGTGTGACAGCAATGCCCAGGGAGGCGCTTCCCTGGGAGCAGGCCAGGCGGACGGACCCGCGCCGCCGCGGGGGTGAACGGAGGCTGCGCAGCCCAGGCCAGCGGCGCCGCGGGCCCGGCACAGAGGCGGACGCAGGCGCAGGCCACAGAGACGCTCTCCCGCGCGCTGCCCTCTCCCGCGTCAGCGGCAGGGGCCAGGCAGCGCCCCCCGCCCCCGCCCCCGGTTTACCCAGAGAGGCCCCTCGGGCTCAGGGCTTGGCGGCCTCACCCGCGTTCTTTCTTTTACGGATCGGAAGTTCTTGAAGTTTTGTCCGGGGACAGCACTCTACAGCCCAGCTCCGCCGACGTCCCCCGCCCCCGCCCCATGAGACAGCAAACACAGCCCCTGGCCCTAGGAGCTGAACCCCGAGAGGCCTCGGGGGTGGGGGGACGCCCGCCTCGAGTAGTGGATTCCAGGGTCCTGTGGCAGGGCCACGCAGGGCTCTTAGTGAGAAGCGAGAAACAGCCCCGGCCGGGCGGCTTAGTCGGACAGAACAGCGTCCCGCACACCAAGGGGATTGTGCGTGAGATCCCCAGTTGGCAACCCATCAATGTCTGTCCGTCTCTCTCCCTTCTTCTCGCTCTAAAATCAATTTAAAGGAAAAAAGAAGTAACAGATGCCTAAAACCAAACTTTGGGTGTCACCTGTAATTAAGGGACAGGAGAGAAAAAGTGGCAGGAAGGCAACAAAGAAGGTCCCTTCTGGCAAAGCAAGCGCCACTGAGCAATGTCTGCGTGCGCCTGAGTCCGCAGGCTGCCAGCCCTTCCCGAAGTGCCCGTCGCCCCGCTGGCCGGGCCCTCGGCGGGGCCGCGGCGGATCGGAGGGTGGCGGTGCTGCTCCTCGACCCGGAGCCTTGTCCTGTGTGCTGGGCGGATGGGCTCAGGGGACAGTCCAGAAACACACACTGTTAGCCCCGCGATTTAAATCGTCTTTCGCTGTGGAATCACAGCAGCAACCCGTGCTGCGTGCGTGTGCCCGCCGCCTCCATCTTTCTCTGCTTCTCTGTTCCGGTGCAGGGGCCACCTCGAGGCCGCAGGTCACGTGTGCGTCCTGAAAGACGCCCTGGACTACGACAGCGCGTTGGAGGTGGCGGGCCTCGTCCAGGCCGCGGCGGCGGAGGCGGCCCTGGCGCTGCACGCCTACAGGGCAGGCCGGCTCCTGCGAGGTGGGTGGCCCGCTGTCCCCCACGCGGCAGCGCCCGAGCCCCCCCCCCGCCCCCGCCTCCCTGTTTAATAACACGCGGACAGAGCGCGTGTCCTATGTACCCGGGTCCCAGGGGGAAGGAGCTCAGTGGCCTTCCCGCTGTGTTTTTCCTCCTGGAAACTTTCTAGAACATGTAACCCCGCCTCCTGAGAAGGAGGTCACGCGGGAGCGGGCTTTGCTGTCCCGGGGGCGGTATCCCGAATGGTCTCACGTGGATCTCCTACCTCAGAGTACCGTCCGCAGACGCTGCCCCCATGGACACGGAGCGGTGCTCTAGCCAGCCTCGCAAGCCCAGTTCCCGGGTGCCTATTAAATCGCATACTCAGCTCCCAGTCCGCCGGATGCCCGGTAGCCTGGCTCCGGCGGCGGCGTAGCTCCCGCACCCGTGAATCAGGTGAATGGAATCCTCTTAGGTGCCCGTTCTAATTGTTAGATGTGATTCTGTGGCGAGTCCTTAAGGTGAGCTGGTTAGCAACCACCGTGCTGTCTGCCTCAGTTCCCCTTTCCCTGGTAACCTAGTCACGGCTGCCAAGAACTAGGACGTGGGACATCCTTGGGGACCATTACCAGACCTACCTCAGACATCCCTCCGGTCCCCGTCTCAGCACCGCCCCGCCCCCCGTGTAAGCCCACTGCCGAGCGAGCCCTGCTGGGACTGGGGACCGGGCCGCCCTCTGTCCCTGTGGGTTTTCCGAAAAGGCCCTGCACGTCCTCAGGAAGACAAGCTCACGGTGTAAAGTGAGACAGAGCAGAAACGAAGCTTCTCTCCTGTCCTTGCTCTGGGGTCCTTCTCCAGAGGCGCCGGCAGCCAGTCCGCCCACGCGTGTGCATGTGTGTGCGCGCGTCCTTGCACGGATGTCCCGCTTGCACGCGCTTGGCTTTCTCCCTCCGCAGCGGGCCTGGCCGGCCTTTCTCCACGGGTGTTACTGTGAGCGTGTGCACCCACGCACGCACACGCTCCTTCACAGCACTCGCGTTGTTGCTTGCCTTTTGCCATTTCCAGCGGCCTTGCCGTCCCCACGCATGTCATTGTGGCGTGCAGGGTCCAGGTGCTGCCTCCTTAGCGGGGACGTGCCAGGGGGAGGGCCCCCTCGCCAGAGAGAACGATGAGGCCTGCGCATCGCAGACGGACAGAAACAGCCCGAAGGCCAGTAGGCAGGACGGTTGTTCTCCTGTCTCTCGCGTGTTGACGCTCCGCAGCGGTGGCCCAGAGGGGCCTCAAGTTAGACCTGGTCTCTGGCACTGCGCAGGCCACGGCCGGGTGCGAACTTTTTGGTTGACCTTCAGAAGCCCTTGAGGGAGTCTCAGTCCGCAAGCTCCCCATCTGACGTGACGTGTGTGGCGTATGTGGTATAATCTGTCACGAGCCACAACCTGAAGCCCACGTCTTCTGCCACAAACCCCGACAATCCCAGATGCGCCCACGTCCCAGGGAGGGTCGGCCTGGCCCCCGGCTGTGGGCAGCAGGCTCAGGCAGCGCCCACACGGCAAGCGCCCGGGCTCCCAGCGCCCCGACCCCCCGGCCAGGGTCTCGGCTCACCCGGTCAGGCCCGCGTCACGCCTGCCCCGGCCTTCAGGGGAGCTGGCTAAAGCTGAACCGATGGCCGATCTCGGTCCCTGAGCCCCGGACACTGGTCCCCAGCGTCACTGCTTTGGGACGGGGTGGCCAGGGCCGTCCCCAAGGCTCTCTCTGCTTCCTCCCTGGGCAGGTCATGGGATCCCTTTCGGAATCATCTTCGGGGGAACTGACTTAAATGAAGACGTTAACCAGGCAGAAAAAAACCACGTGATGGGAAAGGTCCTTGAAGAAGCCAGGTACCACTTGCGGGCTCTCGGGCGAGGAACACGCGGCCGTCTGGGCGGGGCTCGTGGGAAATCAAAGGCCGCGCGAACGGGAGTTCGGGAGGTTCTCCTCGGACCTTGCCAAGCCCGCCCCTTTCTTTGTTTCACTTGGCACATTTTGTAACTTTTGCTGCGAATTCTCCTTGTCAGCAAGTCACTGCCGTTGAATAATTCTTTGACTGCAGCTGGCTGGCGCGGGGCGAACGTTCCCGCGACGTCCCACAGCGGGGCACAGGCAGGGCGGCGGCGCTCAGACGCGACAATGCCGCCCAGCCCGGACCTTCCCGGCCCACGGGTCCGCGTCGATGTGGTGCCAGCCGCAGTGCCTGCGCCATGGTCCCATCCCCACGGATTTCTGAAACACATACAACCGCTCGCGGGAGGGGCCGCCGGCTCCGTTCTCAGCGGGTCACTAGGGGCGTCGGGGGCGGGGCAGCCGTTTGCTGCGGGCCCGGGGCCCTGCCTGCCAGGTGCTGCCAAAGCCTAACGCTCCCCAGCGGGCCCCGGCCCCGGCCGGGAGTGGCCGCTGCCCTGCACGCACGCACGGCGACACAGCCTTTTTAAAATCGAGAGCACGCCCTGCGTGCGTGCGTGTTAAATGCGCAAAGGGGCCGACCCCACCGGGCTCGCCGCGGAAGGCGATCCGCCACACCCGGCGTTCCTGACGTCGCGGCCGCACTCTCTGAGTGTGCGGCCTCCGGACCGCGCCGCCCGGACCTCGCTGTCCTCCGGGAGGGAAGCAGTGCTGCGGGGAGCAGCCACGCGGGGCGAGCCCGTGTCCTCGCCACTCGCGCCACTCGCGCCACTCGCTGCTCCGTTGTCCGAGCCCGCGCCGGCCCCGTCTGGGGACGCCCGCTGGGGTCCACGGGCCGGAAGGCCCTGCCCGCCTTGCCGTCGCCATCGCGAAGCGTTCCGTTCCTTCTCGTGCCCGTGTCTCCGATGCCCTGGGCCTGCGTTTCTCGTCGCCGGTCGGGGGCCTGGAGAGGGAGTCGCGGCTGCGGGCAGCGAACCGACCCGCTGCCCTGCCCTCGCCCCGCGCCGCCGTGGGCAGGGGGCTCCGACGGTGCAAGGGGCTCCGACGGTGCAAGGGGCTCGGACGGCGCGAGGCGCTCCGGTGCCCCGGCCGCGGGCCTCCGCTCCCCCTCGCCCAGCCACACTGTCCCCAAGCGGGGGTCGCTTACGTCCCCGTCAGTGGGGGACGTGTGTGGATTGGCGGGTGCGCGGCAGGAGGGCGAGGGGGAGGGGACGGCAGGACGGCTTGGGGAAGACGCTGGCGCGGGGCGGCCGCGCCCTCTCGGTCCCACGATGGGGAGGGCTCGCCCGTTAATGGTTCTGTGCCTCGGCTGCCACCCCTGCCCCGCCGGCCGCGTGGGGGTGCTGTCTCCCGCGCTGCTCCGACTACCAATGGGGTTCTACTGCGAGGAAGCGTTGTCTGTTTGGCCCCATTGACTCACCCAGGTACTCACAGCGACGCGGCCTCGTGGGTGTTTATTTTACCTGCCTCCGGAGGCTTAGGGGGGATCCGGGCCCCCCCTCCGCCCACCGTGGCCGCTGGGGACGCTTTGCGTCAACGCCCGTGCCCTGTGAGCACGTCGTTTATGGTGCCATGAGGTGTTCCTGGTTCGCCCCACGCAGACCTGGCCCTGCCGGGAAAGACCATCTCTGACGCACGTCACCGCAGACAGTCGTGATCCGGGGACTGTACGCAGCGCGCCTCGGAGGCCGCCACGTTCTTCCTGCGGCCGACCTGGGGCCGGGGCCGCGCGCCCTAGGATGGGCCCCTGCCCCCGCCACGTCTGGCTCTCTGGCATCTTCCTCGCTTCCCTGACCTTGCGTGGGGGCAGCAGGACGATAGGGCATTTCGGGCGTCATGTGCTTATGTCTCGCATATGCCAATTTTCTCTGATGTGCACAGAGATGAAAGCGAGGGGCAGTGAGCAGGAGTAAGAAAGATTGATTGCGCGCTTGGCGCGGCTGCTGACCTTGTCTCTCACAATTTGTTCCACGAGCTGCTCCGCGGTCACGTTAATTGAATCTGCCCTGACGCCGTTCCCCTTCTTTTTTGTTCCTGTCGCCAGGTTTGCTGTCGCGTTCTCGGAGTCCATGAAGGCAGCAGCAGGCCTGCAGTGGGTACGTGTGCGCGCGCGTCTCGGGCCGGGACGTCGGCTGTGCCGGGGACGTCGCAGAACGCGGAGCCGAAAGGCGGCTCGGCAGGAACCGACGGTGTCCCCGCCCGCCCTGCCGGTCCTGGCGCGGGTTCTGTGCCCCTCGTCGCGATGCTTTGATTTGTGCTGCTACTCCTGAACCTCCTCTCGTGTTTTCGTGTGGTTATTGAGTAGCCAGAGCCGCGCAGGAGCCGGCTGCGTCCACGGTTTATTTCCTCTGCGTGAGCTCGATGGGGCGGTTTGCAGGCTGTGGGGTTGCGCGGCGGCCGGTCTGGCTTCCCGGCTGGGCGTGTGTGTGTGATGAGCTTTATAGAGTCGCGGACTCTGCAGCCTACGCGTTAAGGCACTTACTGAGCTTCCTGGTGATAGTGGCTCGGGGGCGGCGGCCGGAGCTGGTGTCTGTGAGGGACAGACAGAGCCGCCCCGAAGGGCGCTCCCTCCGCTGCCCCTGAGCCGGGGGCCCTGCCCCCTGCCAGGGACGCGGCCGGGTGCCCCAGCCCACGCCCAGGGTGCTGGCCCCGCGCTGGCCCCTTCGCCAGCTTCACCCCCACCCCACGCGGCGCACGCGGTGCTCGCACGGGCAAAGTTTCGCAGGCCGAACACATTCTTTACGGAATCTCACCCCGTGAAACCGAGTTCTGGGAAACCGCTGCCTTGGGTCAAAGCCAAACACAGCCTTTGGCGGGACCGTCGCTCCTGTCTCAGAGCTCGGATTGTGGTGCGCGGGCAGGGGACTCCCCGCACGGCCGGCGAGAGAGCCGCGTCCCCCGCACCCACACGCTGCCCCAGGAGAGCGGCGGTGCCCTTGCTTCTCAGCGCCGTTCAACGGCCCGCGAACCTCAGGGGAAAGACGGACAAGTTCCTGGCTCCTCGAGGTCCCCGTGGATCAGCAGTCTGCAGTGTGGGGTCCTTGGGGCCTTTGGGGGCCCCCACAAAGCCTCGCCTCGTCCTGCAGTTGTGCTAAGAAGCATTGGCCCTCGTCCCTATTCGGACCCAGCGGCGAGAAGAGTGGACGCCCGACTCTCCCCAAGACCGAGGTGCGGCCGGTCCCTGCCTCTCCCTGCCGCCCGCTTATAGTCAGACCGGAGCACTCACACTTCTTCCAAATTATCGGCCTCATCAAACATTGACCTCAGAGCACGTTGCAAACACGTCCTGTGCGGGGAGCCAGAAAGACGCGGGAGGCCTCCGCTGTGTTCTGAAGGAAGGGCTGCTCTCGAACGTGGTTATTTTTTTTTTAATCTGAAGGGCGTCTGGCAAACTGCGCATGTTCAGACTCAGGCGTTTGGCAGACAGTTTCTTGAAAATGAGCGACTTGAGCCCGTCCCTTAAGGAAAGCGGCGGGCAGTGTTTGTTGCCCGTGGTAACACGCGAACGTCGAGCAGGAACCAGGGCTCTGGAGGAGCTGCCAGGGTCCCCCGAGACCGTCCTGGTGAGATCGGTGGTCACGGGAACATGCGTGAATTCTTTCATGTTTTGTGGATGTTGTGTAACGAAAAGCTCCAACATGCGGGCGCCTCGAGCCCCATTTGGGAGCCAGTATTTTCCAAATGGCGGCTGCGCGGCCTTGCAGGACACGCGTGTGCAGGAGGCCACTTGAGGGGAAGAGAGACCCGCGGACTTGAGCGCAACAGCCTGTGGGCGACTCTGGGGGCCGGTTTGCAGCGGGAGACAGAGGTCGGGCTGGTATTGGAAGCAGGACGCGGTTTTCCTGCATTTTTATCTTTCAATTTGATGTGAGCCCTGACCGAACGCACAGGTGAGTTAGGCCCGGGCAGCCACGGTGACCGCGTGTCGCAGGCGCCTCTCGGGGCGGCGGGCCCTTCGCCGGCCACGCCCACCCTGCCGCGGGCCTCTATCCCGCCCGGCGCGCCGCCTCTGTGGCTCCGAAAGATGCCCTTCCGCCCCCAGCAGCGGGGCATCGGGAGGGGAGCGGAGAGAGCGGCCGCTGCGGTTTGACCTCCGCGCAGGGTGTCAGAGCCGCTGTGACAAAAAGCTGTGAAAAGAAGAGATGGGTTTGCCACGTAGTTAAAAGTGGTGGGAGTTCATTATTAAATTCAAATGTGAGCCTGCTTTTTAACACGGCTCAGCTCGGCCCCTCGTTGCCGAGCGCAGCTCCTGCTGTAGCTTCGCGGTCCCGGTTCAGCGGGCGGGGCCCTTCGGGCTCTGGGCTGGTTGGTCCGTCAAATCCCAATAATCTCGGAGGGGAAAGAACCGTGGCATCGGCTTCCTGTTGCTTTCGTGATTTCAGAAGGGGGACTATCTGTGATGCAGAGTTGCTGTCGAGTGATGTAGCTCTGCGCATAAATTCTGGTCTAAAACTTGTGCTTTCTCAAACTTGGTTTAAATGAGAACACTCCTCAACGCAGGCCTGCCTCAGCACCTGGTGGTTGATAGAAATGTGACGCGGCCCCCCACAGGGCGCGGGGGCATCACTGTACGTTTTCCAGGAGCCGGAGTTCGAAAAGTAAGCGGCACAAGTGAAACGAGTTTCAACAGTATCTTTGATTTCACTGCCGCGTTTAAGGTTCTGTCCCCACGGCCGCCCCCCTTTCTGATGCCAACTTTAAGTGCAGGGGGTTCCCAGAAGCCCCAGGTTTGTTGCCCAGAATCCGCACCGGGACTTCATTACATAGGCCGGCTGGCTCCCCGCCCACCCGGGACAGCGCAGTCTCCGCCCAGCCGTCCTGCTGGACCGACGTGCCCCCAGAACCCCGTGGCCAGCCTCCCTGGCATGGCCAGCCCCGCCCTAAACACACACACGCCTCTCAGGTATCACAGAGGTTAGTTCCCAGACGCCTCCTCGGCCAAGGCCAGCGTCTCCCCTGCTCACCCACGAGATCCAAAATCTTGCCGTTAAAACATGCAAGTGGTCCACTGGCGCCTGGGAGCTACTTTACATTCTCTGGGCCTAAACCATGGAAACGCAGCGCGCACTGGACCCTCTGCGCTCCGCTCCGTTCAGACCAGCTCCCTGCCAGACACTCAGTAGGTCCCCGAGGCTGGCGGCTGCTCCGCAGGGCCACACCGGCGTTCGCGTGGGGGGCACCCGGTTCCAGGGCTGCTCAGACATGGAAGCAGATGCACCGGCGGCGAGGGGGGCAGGGCGACGTCCACCCCCTGGGAGAGCTTTGACAACGCATTTCGGAGGCTGCGCTTGTACCTACCTATCTCTGGCCGATTCCCCAAAAGTGAGTTTGATTGGGTTTCAGACAGGATGGCCTTATTTTATCTCGTTAATTCGACATGCCTTTGCTGGGCCCCGGGGGTTATTTCTGAAGCGCTGTTCACATCAGATGTCACCTGACGGCCAGCACACCTCCCCGGGCCCTTCGCTCAGGGCGCGTGCTGCCTGGTCGGCCCGGCCTCGGGCGTCCGCATCCCCGCGGCCTGTGGCATTACCACCTCGGCGCGGCACTTGTAGGAACTGGACTCACCGCACATGTCCGGCTGCGATACGGACTTTGGGGACAGGCAAAGGCAGCCTGTATAGGGTTTGCGTTTTCTCCCAGCGGGTGCAGCAGACACGCAGAACGCAAGCCTGGCGCTTGCAGCCCACGCCCAGACTCACGACGCTTTCTCCAGATACTCCAGGCACGCGCCAAAAATGTTACTGTTTAACTATTTCACCAAAAAGTCAGAAATGCAGGTTTGTTGTCTATTAAAGGCTCTCGCCTGCACAGAAGCAGTTAAATGTGTGTCCGCGGGGCCCGAGCCCGCAGCCCGTGCGCAGCCGCGCTGGCCCTTCCTGGCCTTTCCCAGTGAGTGCCCTGGCAGGAGGCCGGGACCTGAACGCAGATATTTGCTCATAAACTATGTTTAGAAAATCTTGAGCCCGAGAGAATCCTGCCTGGTCGCCAGGTCAGCTCGCTGGCCCCTCGCCTCTGTGAGTGCGGAACCGCGCACCCCGGCGGGGTCGCGTTTCAGCAATTTTTTTTCCTTCGGAAACTCGGAGCAACCGCCTTCCGCAGCCTGATTTCCCTCCCTCGCCTTGGCACATGTGAAGGAAAGGCCATGCCGGCGGTGCCGGCGGCGCCGGCGGCGCACGACAGAGAGCAAGGTAGGCCAGCCTGGCCGTCCCCGCGCCGCACGGGGTGCAGGTGCGCTCAGGGGGCGAGCCCGGGGGCCAGCTGCCTGCCCACGTGCTGCGGAGTGTCCAGCAGACGCATGCTCTCCTGCGAACTCCTTACAGCGTGGCCTTCCCCCGCGTGGCCTGTTGCGTCGCGTCTGATTGTCTCCGGAAACCACACAGGCGAGGCCACGCCTTGTATTACAATTTCTGCCACAGCAGATGGAACCCTAAAAGCACTCACCTCGGCACTTCCTCTTCAGACTCTCTGGCTGGCGCCCGGCCCTCCCCACGGACGCCCTGAGAGGGGAACCCCAGGGGCGGATCCGACCCCACGAAGCTAATCGTTTTTAATAACGTCTATTAAGATTGGCTTTTCCTCCGAGGCGTCCTGATGGAATTGCAAATGTCCTCTGCAGCGTTTTCCCCCAAGCGAGGTTCCGGGAATGGAAAAGTTTTAAAATAACCCAAGGGATGGCAGACTCATCCACGCTGGGCCCCCGTCTCAGGCTCACCTCTGACGCGCCCCGGGGCCCAGGTCGGGCGTGAGCCGCCCCGCCGCCGCGGCCGACAGAGGCCTGGGACGCTTGGCGTGACCCCGACAATAATCCTGCGCTGACGACACCACAGATTTCACCCCTTTTTTGTTCGCTTGTTTGTTTTTAACTTTGCTCAGAACTGGCCATGGTCATTGACCAGGTTAGCCCTCGGCCCCGCCCGGAGGCTTTGCCAGGACCCGGTGGCCTTAGTGCCGTTTCTCCAACCTGCTCCCCGTGGATGACAGGGGACCGGGCCCCACACCAGTGCTCACATCCCCTCCTCGTGTCCCTCTTGGGCACCTTCTTTTCTGGACCCATCGTTCTCCGCCTGGTTCGGTGGTGGGAGCCCCGCGACGAGGCAGCGCGCCTCCCTTCTCTACGACCACGATTTCCTTTCCTGGCTGACAAGCAGACTTCCTCGGGGAGGCACAGGAGGAGCGAAGGGGAGACCCGGGGCCCTGAGCAGCGCCCGGCTTCTGGCCGCGTGTTTTGTGACGTGGGTGTGTTTCGAGAGCTCCACCCTCAGGGGCCAGGACCCCCTCCAGGGGACTCGGAGCTATTTGGAAAGCACTTCCCGTGAAGCCGTCGTCCACGCCTGTCATTTCAAAATAACAGTTCGTTTTTTTCCCACCTGCTTTAGCGTGAAATTGTGCATTGATGTCAAGAGTAATATCTGCTGTGGTCTCCACTCGCAGGAAGTTTGATTTCGGGCGGGGAACTCATTCTGCTGTGTCTGGCCAGCCGCGAGTCCATGCGAAAAGGCCCGGACCAGCGCTCGGTCCGTGCGGCGCCGCCGGCGGGGTGTCTGCGGGGGTCTGTCCAACGGGACCTGCGTCTGTCCTGTCTCGTGACAGGTCGGGTTAAGCAACGGTTTCTCCTTCTCGTAAAAATGGAGACGCCCCCCCCCCCCCCCCCCATCCATCACCCCCCCCCCGCCTGCACATACAGCCGCACACAGCACCTCGCCGCACACTGACACGCAGGCACACGCACGCAGCGTCCTCTTGGGCGCTTCACGGGTCGGTGAGCCGGTCTTGCGCGGCGAGAACCTCACAAGGACTTTCACTCTTTCGTTATTTCAAGGCAAGTGCAAGGACAATAAATATTGAGCAAAGAAAGCTGATTTGTATTGAGACCATTTTAATATAGAAAGTGTTTTTTTCAAAATCAATACAAGCCAGTTGGCTTTTACCGGATTTCTTTTATTACGATGGTTAAAAATAGCCCGGGCGGACTGCTGCTATGCCGCCTGTCTCTGTTTTCTGGATTTGCTCCGGCAGGGTCTTAAAATGCCGGCTATGACATGTTTTAAAAGTCTACAGAGGACTTAATGCTTATTTTTTTCCCAGGGTTTCAGTAGATTTTAGAGAAATAACGCTCAGAGAGCTGTCAAGGCCGGCAGTTAAACCCCGACGTTCCCACAGAGCCGGTTCTGCTCACGGAGCCTGCGTAATTTGTGTTTGTGTAACAAGAGGTTTATGGAGAATTAGATGGACTCTGTTCTTGTGAAACGCTTGCTCGAACGCGGAGCGAGACCCCGCGCGACGCATTCGGACCGCGTCCCCGCATCCTCCCAGACACTTCTGAGATGGTTCGAGACTCAATGCTGGACAAAGAGGAGGTTCTCTAGCCTCCTGCCTTCCGATAAAATGTTCTTCAACATTCCCGGGAAATTATAACTTAAAACAGTTTAGGGCTCTGAACTTCAATTTCTGATTTCAAGGGGTTGCTAGTAACCATTTTCCCATTGAAGGGACCGTTGTTTTTTAACGAGTAGAGAAGAGATTTTCAGAACCCTTTTTTAAGGCTTCCTATTTTGGGGGCATTTTGAAAGGAGCTGCCTCGCTGCTGTGTGACGCATGGAGGACAGTGTGCTGAAAACATCGTGAGATTTTTGTATTGCGTGTTGCCATGCATTTCACGTGTGGCCCAAGACGCCACAGGGTCGGGCACCCCGGGGCCAGATTTTCAGAAGGAGCCTCAGCCGCCTCCGGCAGTGACAGAGAAAGCGGGAGGAAGCTAAGGACAAAAGCCAGCCCGAGGCGAGACTCCTGTGCGCGCGCAGACTTCCACTCGGCCACCGTCGGGCGCCTGGGTCCCCTCCGGGGCCCGCCCGCCAGGCCACGCCCAGCAGGCGGGCTCCACGCCGCTCACGGACCCGCGCCCCCTTCGGTTCCGGCGGAAGAGTCCAGTGTCGCGACTTCCGGGATGAGTTCTCATTGGCAGGGCTCGTCCTCCCGTGCCCCGCTCTGATGTTCCCGCCGCACGACACACAGGTGCACCTTAGTGGACTCGTGTCACCAAAATGGCTCTCTGGGTCACGTAGGAGAAGCGGCCGCTGGCAGCCCCCGCGGCGGGGCTTCCGCTCCCTCCTCCCGTGACTCCGCCGCGAGGGTCCGCGCTGGACGTCAGCGCCGTTCGCGCCGACTCGGCCGCAGGGAACTCGCGACGCGGATGCTCTTTCTCCCGGTAGTTTTGTGACGGTGCACAGGCGAGCGGCAGCAGGACGAGTACGTTTCTGCCTCGGTACAAACGCCTAGGCCCGTCCCGCAGGGGCGGCCCCTGCCCCTGATGTCACAGAGGCGTTCGGGGCGTCCGTCCCGGGTCCCCGAGGGGGCCCACTCGCAGCCGGGGCGACCCAGGCCGGGCGCCTGTTTCCTTGTTGCCAACACGCTGTGTTTCTCTTCTCCTCTCCCTCTCCTCCTCCTCCGTCTCCTCCTCCTCTTTCTTCAAAGCAGAGCGAGCACGCTCTTCCCACTCAGCGGCGCATACACCCCCCACCCCCCCACGACGTTTCCCCAAACGCCTGCCTCCGGCTCCAGCGCATGTGTATGCGGCAGATGGGCTCTGTCCCCCGCACGTCCTTGTGTGACCGCCAGTAACTTTTCCACTAACACAGTGACTGTAAAACTCGAAAACCGTATTGTTCCGCCTGACTGCAGGCACTCGGTTCCTCGCGCGCGGTCCCTCCCGGTGCCGTGTCTGTAACGGGTGGGCGCGCTCCGAGCAGAGGGAGCGCGGCGCTCTGGCAAAGGCGCGCGTCTGCGAGCGGCGCGCCGACGGTGCTCTGCGGTGTTTGCGGAGAATTTTTACGGCCTTCCTTTTAATCCAGAAAGCAGTTGTAAAAGGCTGTGGAATTCACTTGTTTTTTCTTCCTTCCCTCTTTCCAAAAGCCGCACGCGAAGGACAAGATCTACGTCCAGACTCAAGGTAAGAACTTCTAAAATATATTTGAAAAAAGCCTGCCTTTATATTTTAGAGACACGTACTAAAATGTTTATGGGTGAATTGATATGCTGTCTGAGATTTACTTAAAAAGCCGTTCATAGAGTGGATATTTTATTATTTTGTAACATTAATATATAAGATAAATAGGAGAAAACGGTGAAATAATAGCTTAACATGCAGAACACTTAGCAGTTCGGCCGGGGGAGTGCGGCGTCCGTGAACGCCCTTTCCTGAGCCCCTGGGGTCACCCGCACACAACAGGGACGCCGCCGTCCCCACAACAGGGGTGAGGGGAAGGCTGTTCCCCAGAAGGACCCAGAGTTGATTCTGGACTGAGGTTACAGAGGCGCCGAGGCCCAGGTCCCAGGTTCAAGCCCCACGGAGGCCGCACGGTGCTGACCACCAGGGCGCATGCGGCCCCGGTGCAGCCAGCTCAGCGGCATTTCACACGATCCCCGCACACGCGCGCCCGCGGCTTCAGGGACATCTGGAGCCGAGCAGCGGGGTCCCTCATCGAAGGGCCTGTTGCTCAGAGACCTCGCGTAGTAAGGAAGGCGCGCTGACTCGGGGTGCGTGAGGGCCGTGAGGGCCGAGGCGGGGGGCCCCCTCTCCTCCTCTGGGGCCTGAGCGCCGGTCAGCAGGGACCCCGGCTCCGCGTGGGTGTGAACACAGCCTCTGCCGGCTGCGCACATTTTCAGTGCCTTTTGGGCTCTTTGAACCTCAGTCTCCCGCCAGACAAGCCAGGGCTCCCCGTGCTCAGCAGGCGGTAGGGCTCAGGGGGTCCTGCGGCGCCCGCACCCCGGCGGCCCGGAGCGGGCCCTCAGGAGGCGGCTGTCGAAGTGCCCCGTACACGGCTTCACCCCCATCTCGGGAAAGTTCCAAGGCTCTCTGCTCCCGAGACGACCTGTTGCCACAGACTTGAAGTGGCTTCAAAGGACCAAGTGCAACCGCCATTTAATGCCAGCACCAAACTGCTGGTTCTGTCTCAGCAACGTGGGCTTTCTCTTTTTCTCTTCCCTGCGGCCCAGGAATCATGACCACACCCAACGCCGCCTTTGCCTGGGACGCCTTTCTCCGGTGTGCAGGTGAGAGAGGCGCCCGGGGCCCGGCCGGAGGGCAGCGCGCCGGCCCCCGGGGTTGGGGGGCGGGGGCAGCCAGGGCGCTGGCGGGTGTACGCAGGACGAGGGACAGGGCTGCCGCCAGGCGAGGCGAGGCCAGGGACGGGCTGGTCGCTCCGTTCTGGGAGACGCCCTCTGGGAGGGAAGCGTCCAGACAGCAGGCCTTCTGGACGGCTTTGTCGCCGAGGGCCCGTGGGTTTTGCTGTGGAGTGATCCTCGGAACAGCCGGGAGATTTAAAATCCCCCCCACCCCCATTCCCCTTGGCGGCACCTTTAATCGTGATGCCTGCAACTAACTGCCGGCACCGGGGCGCGGGGAGGCGGGTGTGCGGGGGACCGCTGGCGGGGGCAGAGGCGGGCTTCGGGGCTGGCGGCATGCACCGCGGACGTCGGCGGCTCTGGGCTTGGTGACCAGGCGTCTGCCGTCGTTGGTGCGGTCGGGCACCTCTGCCGTGTTCCAGGCTCCGGGGACGGACCCGCCCCTCTCGTCACCCCGCCCAGCTCCCCGGAGCCCCCAGAGGCCCCGAAGCCGGCGGTTGCCCTTTGTCACTCGCACGTTGCGCCTCCGGCGGTGGCGGATCTGATGCAGACTCTTAGCGATCAAACACGCACCGTCTCATTCCTCAGGAACTAGCTGTTCACCTGTTCGCTCTGCAGAACGCTCCCGGGAAGCAGGCGGCGGCGGGGTAGTCACCAAGGCTTATTTATAGCTTGCTTCTTAAATTTCTGTCAGTTTTGTGAGGCAGTTTTACAGGATGCCACAGGTTTTCCTGTGAGTGCTCAGTCATTTCTCCAAGCCCTAACTCACGGCTGAGTCTTCCCAGTTTAAAACATCGAACTGCTTCATGGTGACCAGACACTAACAGGTCACCGGGGAACAGAGAGAGAAGTAGGTTCATCGCTGTGGCTCTTCCCTCGGCATTTCCGCAGCGCGTCTGAGGGGGGCGGGGGGTTCAGACCTGCGCGGAGGTCCCCGGCCTCGGGGCCTCTCTGTGCGTTTCCGCATGCATCTCAACGGCCTAACGATCCACGGTTTTGGCTTTTCGGTGCCGGTGGCCGAGACCTTAAAGTATCGAGTCCTTGCCGGGTGTCACACCCCGGAACTAGGAAACTTAAATTCAACCCGGCCACTCTCTTCTGTTCCGCTCTTTCCCATTTTGTTTCTGTTCCTGTTGTGTACCTAATTTTCTCCCTGGTTTCAAAGGCTGCTTGTTTTGCTGTGTGGAGACTCCGCCCAGGGCCGGCGGTGGGGCGGGGGTCCCTCCGCAGGCTACGCCCAGGAGACACGGCCTTGCCTGAGAAAGGGACTATTACCAGCCGGGAAACCACGCGTGCCCCTGAAACTTCACTATGTCAAAAGCGCTCCTCCGAAGGTCTTGCACTCCTCTCTTTATAATAACAAGTGAGGAAAATAAATAAACGAGCTACTAGGGTAGAAAAACGAGGACAGAAGGCGGCTTATTGTGGATTGGTTGGCGCCCAGCAGCAGCCAACAAGTCCCTAGGCAGTTAGGCCGCCGGTGCCAGACAATGAAACGACACATCTTATTTTGGAGATAAAAGTGCCGTGCGGCGGGACGCGGCAGCCTCGGAAAGACACCTGACCGCCCCTCATTTCAACTTCGGGTCCCACAGGGACTCACGGAAGTTTGTGTCGCTAAGATTCGCTTCCGGGCGCTGGGGAAATATTTAAAAATCTCAACGTAGCTCAGTGAAATTGTCCACAGGTAATTCGGCAGCGGCGGTGGTTGTTAAGGCTTTCCTACGGGGGCGTCTGAATCTCAGCCCTTCCGCGAGGACGCTCTCCGAGCCGGATGGGCGCCCTTGGTCTAGTGTAGCTTTTCTGCTCCGGTGGCGTCAGCACATCCTGCTCCATTCAGGCCAGGTCCCCCCTCTGCGAGGCTTACGAAAGCACCGAGAGAGGGACGTGTTTGCATGAAGTAACGGAGGAATGAAATGAACGGGTGCGTGAGACCCTGTCCCTTGCGTGATAGCGTGTCCGCTTATGTAAGTTGGCAGCTGACGAAGGTTCAGGTCAACTGGCATCCGTGATGGTAACAATTTCTACTGAATCAACGATCTATTTCTGCGTAACAAGGCACCCCGACCTACGGTGGCATAAGACGACCACTGTGTATTGTCACGTGGTTTCGTGGGAGTTTGGGCGAGGCCCGGCGGGTGAGGGGCGGGGCCTCCGAGCTGGGCCTGGGGCTCGGAGCTGCGTGTCCGGGGCCAGGCGCTCCCCACTGAGGGCACCCTCGCCTCTTCCGTTGCAGACATTAGGCCCAGTGCTCACGACGCGCACGTGTTCCTCCTGATCTGTGGGCTCAGGCAGGTGAAAGACCCTCTGTATCTGGTGGATGCGTTCTCAGGTACGCTTCCGAGGCACCCCTCCCGCGGGGTCCCAGCCGGGGGCCGTCTGAGCATTGCTCTCATCAGGGTGGGGAGTTGGGGTTTACCTTCTCTGCACATCCGCGGGACGGTTGCTAGGTTGTTGCTTTGAAAGAACCAGGAAAAATAAGAGTGGCTTGCAGCAATTTCAGTTGCTTTCCTTTGCCCTCGGCTTCTGCGGAAAGCTCGCTGGAAGGCTCACATCGTTTGATCTGAAAATGCTTCACGCGTGTCAATTTGTACAACGCGCTGGGAGTTCGGTTGAGTAAGTGAATCTGTGTGCTCTTCAGCCTATCGCTGAGTTTGGGTGGCATGTCGGCTCTCGTTGCTTAATAAACCCGGACGAGGCGTAATGTCCTAGGACAATACTATTTACCTAGGAGCAAGAAAACACACACGTTTACATTTTACATACATGTAAGTGAAACAGACTGCTATGAGGGAAAGCACAGTATGAAATAATTTCGATTGTGGCGTAAGTAATAGTAAGCCTATGTTTGCAGCTGTGACTTTCAACCATCCTGAAGGGTCTCTTCCTCTTTTTCTCCCCAAGAGTGGCACCGGCAAGAGCCGCATGTCTACCTGGCGATCGTGGGCCCTGAGGTAAGCGGACAGACGCTGTGAGCGTTCGCCTCGCCTCTGCTGTTCGTGTTGTCTAAACTCAGTTTACGCCACTCTCCTAAGCAAACTGTTTTGTCCTTCTGCTTAAGTAAGTAGAGCTGTTTGCCTTTTTAAAGATGAAAACCAGACCCCGGTTTGAGGTGAGGAGGCTTTTCCACATCTGTCCAGCGCGGCGTTGCTGCGAGGGGTGACTCCCCGGGAACCAGCGGAGCCCTGTGAAGAGGGAGGCCCGGTCGGCGGTCCCGGCCCGCCCCTGTGACCCTGCGAAGACAGGAAGGCCAACGCTGGGCGTGGTCCGGGTTGCCCTGGAAACCCCCTCCAGGGCTCAGCAAACAGACGCAGGGCCGTGTTCCTGACCCCCGGTTCTGCGGGGCTTGCACTCAGGCAGCACAGATACGCTTCTGCCAGCAGGATGCGCTCACCTCGGGGCGGCGGGGGCGGGGGTTCATCCCTGACCTCGGGGGTCCCCTGCCCGTGCTGGCTGCCTGGACGTCCTGGGGTCGGCTTCAGCTGCAGAGAGGTCTGAGTCTGGCCTTGGTCTTCGCCGAGCGCAACCGCGCCAGCAGGCGTGTGGTCTCGCTTGCGGGGGTCCCCGGGGTGTGACTTTGCTGGTGGCCTTGGATAAGGCGTGCCGCTCAAACGGTCGGTACGAGCCTGGTGGCTTAATGACTTTCCTTGATGACTTCTCACATCCAAGGCGATTTTCCTTAAGCCCGGAAGTTGGCACGATCTGCTTTCGCCAGAAAATAAACAAGCTCAGGAGGAGGGAGCGAGACTTCTCCTGGCCGCTCGCGGTGCCTTTGCTTTTTAAAATTTCACCACACGTGTTTTTGTTACATAAAAACACCCGCCCTCCTCCTACCCGCTCTCGTCTTTTGTTCCGCTCGGCTTCACCAAGAGATTTGAAATGACCTGATGTGGAAGGTGAATCCAGAAAAATTTAATGCGGGTTTTACTTTTCACTTGCAAGCCACTGCTTTCACTTCGGTTAAATTTTAAAGAATTAAGTGCTGCCGTGGTCTTGTCGAATTTGACTTTTTCCCCCTCTGTGACGAATTATTTTCACCGACCTAATTAACCTCAAGAGCAGAAGCACGCGAGTGAAATGAACAACAGGAGGAATTTCTATCTAAAAGTGATCATCAGTAAAATATGAGTTCGGAAATTACAACGTAGAGCCAAAAGGCTTTCACTGGACTGTTGACCCTTTTGTGATACGATGCTGGGGGGGTGGCGCAATTCAGTGGCTGCGAAGAACGGGGACAGAAAGAGTCAGCGGCAGGCCAGTCGGGAGGCCCCGAGTCAGCACGCACGAGGGCGCAGGGCTGCGTGCGAGCCCCGGCGTGGCCTGGGGACCCGGAGGCGGCAAGGAGGCAGGCGGCCAGGTGACAAAAGGCAGGCCCCTGTCTGGGAGGAGGAGGCAGAGAGATTTGGGGAGAAGGTACCCCTTCTGGTTGGATGGGGCAGGTGCCTGTTCCGTGGGGGACAAGTACGTTGCAGGGACAGAGGGTGGCCTTCCTGGCGGACAGAACGGTACGCGCTCAGGGGAGAGGCGGGGGACGGAAGGCACGGGTGGGAGACCGCAGCTGCAGGGGAGCGGGTGGGTATTTCATCGTCCACTCGGCTTCTCAGGGGCCACCAGGCACAATTTTTGAGTGGAAACCGCACAGGCGGGAGAGCAGGTCTAAGAGTTTAGTCTCCGAGTCAGGCCGCTGGCACGTGAGTTCTGCCCAGCACCTTCGCCCACGGGGCGAACCGGGCTAAGTTGCCGCGGCTCTCTGAGCTCCAGTGCCCTCTTGCCTGGGGTGGGGACAATTTTCACAGATCATGGGCAAGAAGTGAGCAAATGCGTGGATAGGACTCAGCAAGGGCTGGCAAGAGTAAGCAGCAACCAAGTATTGACTATTCACAACAACAGGAATTAACAATAAACGGTGCATAGCCCAGAGTTGTCTTTAAAGATCTTACTAGTGTCCAGGTGGTTGCTGGCGCCAATTCAATGCCAACAGGAGTCCCCAGTTTGGGGCGGGGTGAAGAAGGAACCTTTATTCAGTGCCAAACAGCCCCGTTGCCGTGCAGCGTGACTGCGAACTAGCGCGACGGGACCGCCGTCCAGTGAGGCAGCCGCTCGGCCGCAAGGCGGCCCTGCACGCGGCCTGTCCTGCGCCAGGCGGCCTGTCCTGCGCCAGGCGGCTCTGCTCCCCGCAGCGGGACGCCCCTGCTCTTCACTGAGCTCCAGCCAGGGCAGCGCCTCTCCCGTCTTCTGAGCAAACCCGGGGAGCTGGCTTTTGTAGACAGAGGTCCCGTCCCTGGTCTCTGATCGGTCCATCCTCGTGCAGTGGGAACGCCAAATCCTCGCAGTTTGGTCCCAAAGGCACCGTCCCGATGGGTCAGACGGAGGCGCGCCGACGGGGCTGTGAAGATGCCGCAGGGGACATAGCTGCACAGCTCCTGTGGGACACCGAAAGCCTCGGTCCTCCTGGCTGAAACGGGACCCCGGGTGCTCCTTTGCCGCTGCGGTTTGTGCGGGAGGCCCTGGGGCAGAAATGGCTGCTGCTGGGTTCGGGTTGGTTTTTGTTTGTTTTTCCACTTTGGGCGCAGCCCGCCCCCGGAGCCCTTCTTGGTGGGAACCGCCTTTCTCAGGCCCACACTGGGATCAGAACGGGCTCTGCAGCCTCCGCGTGGCCTTTCGTGGCCCCGGCCCAGCCTCCAGCCCCGCCGGCAGCACCGGCGGCGACGGGGCGAGAAAGCCGCGGGCGACTCCGTGGCTCTGTCAGGGCCGGCGCGCGCCAGTGACATTTCCTCCGCGGCGTCACACGGTTCCTGCGCATGTGATTTCCCCTGGAAAACTGGAGGCAGAAATCACATGTTGCCATTTTTCCGTTTTCCTGTGTGTGTGCACGTTTGCTACAAACACAGAGAATTAAGGCACTAAAGCAGGTCAGCACATCCCAGCAGTCCGGTTGAAGTGGTTGACTCTCGTGACACTTGTAAATAAGCCCGTCACTTTGTTCGGAACAATGCCAGACTTCAGGGTTTCTTCACACTGGCACGTTTCTCACGGACGGAAACTAAGCGGTGTCTGCGCTTGTCTGCCCTGCGGTGCGTTCCGTCCGTTCGCTGTGCTTTTCTGAGCTGCCCGGCGTGCGGTCTCCTCTTTTTAATATTGTCTGTCTTCCGCGCCCTTCCTGTCAGTTCGCTTTTCAAATACATTAAACTATAAAGAAATTCTCTCTAGGAACAATGTCGTTTTCTTAGGCTCCCCAATCCGCTGGGTTAGCCTTCCAAGTGGCCTCGAGGGGGCAAATGAACAGCGTCCCCAGTTTGGGGGGCACACCCCGGGCACACCAGCGGCCTGAAGGGTGGGGGCTCAACACACAGACACGCACGCACGAGTGTTCTGGAAAACAGAAAGATTTCAGTGAACGGCGGGGACATCGTCACATCCGTCCCACAGCCTGGCGCTGTGCTGGTGGTTTCTAATACCTCCTGGCCAAGTGTGAATGAGAATGGAAATTGGGCCAGCCTTCACTCCGCTCCTCCGGGTGCTGTGGTAGTCAAATGTGTTTACACAACACCGCAAACTTCGTGTTGCGCTGGCATAAATTTAAGAACGTCTTGTCAGTTCTTCTTAAATTGTATTCATTGTTAGTAACTCCCGCAGAGCCAGTGCGGGGCAGAACCCGCCTCTGGTGGCTTTCTCGGCATTTGCCCTCGCATGAAGCGCACGTGATAAGTGTATGCAGCAGCCGCATCCTAAGTGGGCTTGCGGGACCCCTGTGACAGCCGGAAGTGTCCCCTAAGGTCCACTTGGCATCCGGCAGGTGGACGTCCCTAGGAGGGGTCTCTGTGAGCGAACGGTACCGGGGTCTGGTTTGTGGTCAGGAGGGTGGCGGGTCCCTCCGTTCGGGCGCATTGAGCAGCACAGCGTTGTCCCTGGGCACGCGCTCACGTGAGGCGAAGCTTGGAGCCGTGCCCGAGCTTGTCACGCAGCCGCCAGCCCCACGCTCGTCCCGTGGAGCGGGTTGGGTCGCCCGCTGCTGCCCCGGCTCCCCAGGCTCCGCCCGCCGGGAGTCTGCGCGTGCGCACGCCCCCCGCACCCCGGGCCTTCTGCCCCGCCCCCCGCTCCTCGGGGTGTGAGCGAGGCGCAGCTGGACTCGGATTCTTTCCTCTTCGACCTGTTTCCCTTTCTGACCCGTCCGGGGTGGCCCTGTTGTCATGATGCCAGTCCTCCCGCGACGCAGGCTCCTCTCGGGCTTTTCCTAACGTCTGTCTGTCTCTTGGCAGGTGGACCCCGTGTTCACAAGGGAAGTGAAGGCCAGGGTGCAGAGGTGAGTGTCTGCGCAAGCAGGTGTTCTGCGGCGGAGGAGCCCCGTGGCCAGCGCGTTCACCGGCTCCCACGGTGACGCAGCAACGTCCCTGACCCAGCTCTGTCCCCAGCACTTTACACGTGGCTCCTCCTCTAACCCTTCCGAAGGTCCCGAGCGAGCCGGGCACCGTTGCCTCCCACGTGCCGGCCCGGGAACAGCGGCCTGGGAGCGCAGGCGGAGCCCTGAGCGGCGGGGGCAACGCGCTCGAAAGGATGTCCAGCCTCGCGGTTCGCGGACGCGCCCGTGAAAGGCGCTTTGACAGGGCGGCATTCACAGGACACTGGCAAAACCCCCGAAGACCTCCCGCGTCGGGGTCTGGGGACTGGAGGCGCGCGCGCGGCACCCCTCCCCCTCTGCTGGCGGGGGTAGAACCGCGACGGCCTCTTGGGAGGACCATTTGGGGGAGGGCTTGTTATAAATGGCACGTGTGCCCCCAACACAGAGACCGGCCGACACCAGCTTAAACACCCTGGGCCGAACGGCTCCATAAAAAGTCTGAGGTGGTTGGTCCGGGACCAACAAAACTCAGGGACGTGGGCTCCTGGCTCTCCGTCCTGCCGCCCCTCACCTGTGGCTTCTGTCCCGAAGGTGGCAAAGGGGCTGCAGAGCTCCGCCCATCTCATCGCAGTCCGTGTTTTGAGAGGAGAGGCAGGAAAGGGTGGGTCAGAGGACCTTTTCCCCGTTGGGTCAGCCCCCTTTCAGGTGACTTCCTCATGGACCCCCACCCCCCTCAGGGTTCCACTGGCCTCCCCGTCAGCAAAGGGGACTGGGAAACATTGATTTCATCCCCGTATACAATCAGAGGTCTTCGTATTGCTCACAGATGCATGTACCTAAAAGCAGGACCAATTACATGAGAGCGTATGTTTCCAAGTCAGGAGAGCGGTGGAGAGGGGAGGGGACAGAGAGGAATCAGTATTGTCGAGTGAAAGAAAGAAAACCCAACAAGGTAGAACCTACAGAACAAAATACTGTCGACCCCGGCGGGTGGCGACATGGCGCATCCCTGTATTTTAGTGCCTTTCTCTCTGTTCATCTGTCTGTTACTGTCTCTATCAGCATCTTTAAACATTTGGAAAGTGTTGAATTATCATAAAGGGGTCATTTTCTAAATCCTACAGAGAACATGGCGAATCGCTCCTCTCCGACCTCCCGGGTTGGAGCTGGAGGAGCTGGAGGAGCCGCTTGCCCCAGCTCTGCTCCTTGCATTGAACCCTTCATCAGTAGGGCTTACTCTTTGATAGAGCGGTTTTCTCCCAAACTGTGGCCTCTCGCCTTCCAGCCCCGCCCGGTAGACCCCACGGTAAGAAAGACCCCTCAGCAGAAGCGCCCCCAGCCCACGGTGCCGTCTATTTCAGCGCCGCGGGGGTGCGCCTGGTCCCAGAGATGCCGCAGGGGGACCTCCACGCGGCCCTGAAGAGCTGCACAGCCCTGGTCAACAGCTCCGTCTCCGAAGGCATGTCGGCTGCCATTCTGGAGGTAAGGGTGTCCCGGGCCGAGTGCGCGCAGCGGAAGCTGCCGGCGGCCTCCTTCCTGGGGCGGCGGGCGGGGGGCGCCTTCCTCCGTGAGCCCTGCGCTCCTCCCGGCTTGGAAAGAGCAGAGTAGCGTCTCCTTGGGAGCTCGGGAGTCGTTTCCAAGTTCCGCCTGGGACTCGACAACGATCGTTCCGTCTTGCGCAGCCCGAGGCAGCGCTGCCTGGGACCTGCCGAGACTCTTCCATGAGGCGGGGCGCACGCAGAGGGTGGGGACGGGGCATGAGATGGCAGTGTTTTTGCAAGACGCCTCCTCTGCCTCGGTTCCTGCCCCCTCCTTTCTGTGTGGTCCACGATCCTGGATTCGGGCGTAAGAAGGGGTGTGCGGGGTGGGGGAGGGGTCCTAGTCTCTCCGGGAGCGTCAGCTCCGGAAACCCACGGGGCCCACTTTGGCTGAGCCCACATCGAGCCCCGCAGGGCCCCACGGCCGCGCGGCCTGTGTCGCGCAGGGAGCGGCTCCCACAGAAGGCCGCTGGCTGGAACCCTGGTGGCTCTGGCTGGACAGGGTCAGCGCTTCGGGAGACAGACCTTCCCAGCCGCTCAGCCCCTTTGCCATCCCTTTTTCTCTCTGGAACGTTCCAGGCGACAGAGTATTTCAGTGGACGTCTAGGTGAGACCTCCCCCGAGTGTGTCTAACAGGGAAGGCGTTTCCCTTGTCCTATTTTGGGTTAGTTTATTACATCCCGTTCCTTTCGGAGGCGATCTTGGCATGGGGGGAGGCCGTTCGCGCGGCCCAAACCGGCACCGGCACTGGGCTTTCTCTGAACCCCGCAATCCCAGGCTGCTGTTGCCTCTGCGCAGGGGCAGCGTGGCCCAGGGACGGGCCGATTGGTCCGCGAGAGAGCCTGCGGGGGGCGGGGGGCAGGAAGCGCGTCGCCCCTGGCCCTGCAGGGCTTTGAATGGGCTCCATGTTTTCTTCCTCACTCCGTGGGTTTCTTGCTGCCATGTCTACTTAGAGCGATGCTGTTACTGTATCAGAAGAATGTAAAATATCCACTTATCCCGTGGGACACTTGTTGGAACCACTGAATTTACTGGCTTAAGGTGGAAGTCGTGAACCTTAGTGTTCCGTGAACGTGCTAACTAATCCAGAAAAAAGAACTAATCCTCCCTAAACCCAAGACACACCAAGGCTGTAAGCCTAACATGTTATTTTAATGCGGCATCATTTAAAAAAAGAAAAAACACCCAAACAAAAACTTCGGGGGTGGGGAGCTCTGCGCCCCGCACGCCTGGGGGCCCAGGGCCGGGAAGCGCTTGCGGCCCGGCAAGTGGACCTGCGACGTGTCCCCCGCCGGCCAGGTGGCAGCCCCTCCGCCTGCACCCAGTCCTCAGCCCTCCCCTCTTCTGAGGTTTAGAGCCAGCTGCTGCGTGGCGGCAGCCCCGTTATTTTGTAAACTAGCCCCGAAAACTAGTTTTCAAAGTGCGCTCTGGGGTGGGGCCGGCCCCTGAGCCCCCCCCCCCCACATTGCTCACATTGCTCCTCCTCTGTGAACAGACATCGCCCCACCCCCAGTCCCTGCAGCTTAAGAAACAGTACAGGGGGGTCCGGGAGTGATTTCATAGCCAGCACGCACAGCCGTTCGCGGCGGACAGATTGCTGTCAGATCTCATCGACTTCAAAGGCGAGGCCGCGTTAGCAGCTCTGCCCGCGGCGGAAAGCGGGCTGCGGCCGAGCGTCCCGAATGCCCAGCTCCCGGGGCGCGGAGAGGGCGCGTTTCGTCAGGGTCAGTGCGGCCTCCTGCGCGGTTAACCTCGGGATCAAGGACGCACGTTGAAAGGGACAGGGGCCCTCTGACCTTTCAGATTCGGCCTGGTTTTCTCAGGAAGCACAGAAAAGTCCCGTTTGCAAAAAATAACTGTTCACCCCGCTCGGCGATAAGCCACGTTCCTTTGTGTTCTTGTCCGAGCGCCCAAGGCCCCGCTCAGTCCCGTCCCTGCTGGGAGGAACCTACTTCCCTGGGGCAGGGGCAGAGGGGGCAAGGTTGGTAATAAAAACGTGACTCCACACAGTCGCCGAAGCGGCGTTCAGTGACCGTGCGGGGTGACGGTCTCCTGGGGGCACGGCAGTAATTCTCTCCATCGGGGACAGCGTGTCATTTTCCAGAAGCGGCAAGTACAGGAAGGCGTGAAGATCCGCACGCAGTCTGAAAGCCCCGTTTTGATCGGGTGTCACTGGGTGGGAGGGGCCCCGGGGAGGCCCCTGCCCACAGACGGGCTTTCCCAACGACCGCCCGTCTGCTCTCTCCTCCCCGCAGGCGATGGAGCTGGGCGTCCCGGTGCTGGCCAGGAACATCCCCGGGAACGCCGCCGTGGTCCGGCACGGAGACACGGGACTGCTGTTTTCCGACCCGCAGGTACGGGGCCCTCCCGGGGCTCTGGCCCCGCCCCGCGGCGCGCGCCGCCGCTGCACAGGCTGCTTTTGATGTCAACGTGCGCGTTAGTTGTACACAGCATGTTGTTTAAAAAATAGAACGCTTTGGTTTTCCCACAGGGCGGGGGCTGCCTTTTAACATGGCTTGAGAAAGCGTGCCAGGCACGGCGCCGCGTGAGGCTTTGTTTTCCCTGTGGCTGCGAGGAGACGGCCGGACGCAGGGTGGTGCCGGTGCCGGTGACAACGATGACAATAGCTGCCATTTATCAGGTGCACGTTATGTGCCAAACACTGTTCTTAGCGTTCTGCACGAATTTCCACCTGTATTGAAGTTTGTTTCTTTTCCTGTGCACGGTAACGCTGTGGACAGTCAACCAGCAGGGCAACGCTTGGAGGAGCGAGGCGCACGGGAGACCTGGCCCCTCCGCACGTTTGGTCAGGCGGAGCTGGGTTGGGGTCTCGAGCTTTTCCCTTGGAATCTGAGCGACGCGGGACACCCGTCTGCTTCCTATGCTCGTCCTCCACCTCGAAGAGGGAGAGGGCGGTGTGCAAGCTTGGGAGCTCCCCGGGGGAAGGCACGGCGGGCTCTGCTCCGTCGCCGGGAAAGCCGCCCGTCCGGCAGCCGCTGCTCGGGGCCCGGACGCGCGCACCGCCGAGGTGCCCCTGCTGGGCTCGCGCTGCGCAGGCGAGAGGCGGGCGGGGCTGGGAGAGCCCCCCGTCCCACCGGCTCACCCCGGGCGCCTGTCTCTTCAGGGAACTGGGGGACGCGGTTGGCCCATATCATGCAAAGTATCATTCTCTCTTACTTCAATTTTTATGCATTTTAAAAACTTTAACTCTCTAACCGGACATCTACACCCCGCCTCCTGAAGCTCGGTGCGGGACGCGTGGGCCCAGCGTGGGGTGACGGCCGCGCCAGCCCCCCGGACACGCTGGGCCCACGCGTGTGGACCAAGCGGGAGGTCCGTCCAAAGTCTATGGATGTGGATTTGTGCAGAGGCCACCGTGTCACTCATTGCAGAGCCAGGGTCCCTCTGAGAGTGACAGCGGCCACCGTGCGTCCCGTCGGCACGAAGCGCCGGCGCCCCCCGCCCCGGTCAGGCGGCGCTGCCTGAGCCTGGCAGAGGGCGCCGCGGAAGCTGGGGGCCTCTCCCCGCCCAGGGGGAGGCTGTGCCCCCGCAGCCCCGCCGGGTCACGGCGCCAGCGCCCACACGCCCCGCCCTTCGCGCCATGTCTCTGCGCCTTGTTTACACCTGTGTTTTCGGTTCGCTCTTCCGCACGGAGGGAAAAGTGTGTCTGATCACCTCCTTCCCACGCAACTGTCACTCACGATTCTGTGTGAATGGTCGTATGTTCTCCAGGACCCCAAGCGGGGGGTGGGGGCGGTTTATCAAAGTCTCTGCGTCACATAAATCAAAGACGGGACCAGTCGTGCTCGAACACCCCAGAGCTCGAGGCCCTCAAATGATTTCCATGCGAATGTGGTTCTGGTACGAGATGGGAACAACTACGTTACCTTTTTATTATAAAAGAGAGCACCAACTTACTATACGCACAACACCGAAAAGTGCGACCCCACGCTGTCCTGCATACGGCCACTTACACGGCTGGCCAGAAAAGGCATTCCACGTCCAACTGGCAGTGCTTTTGAGAACACGGGGACGTTCTCTTCAAACAGCCAGCAGCGGGCGCCCTCACAGGCGCGGCCGTGTTGCCGGAATTCGCACGGTTTGGGGGGCGGGGATGGCGATGGTGGCGGCGTCTGTGCCTGGCGCTGCCCTGCGCTCCGGGTGTTAACGCGCTCGGCCCGCCCGCGCTCCGCCCAGCGGCCTGTCCTCGCCCCGACGCCCGGGGGGCGAACCTGCCCTCGGCTCAGCGCAAGCAGAGCAGGCACCGAGGCCCCCGCCTCTGAGCGCCTTGAACCCCCCCAACAACCCTAACCCTTTCCCGTCCGGAGGGGCTTAATGTGTCAGACCGGCCAGCAGAGCGGCGCTTTCGCGACACGCCTGTGAGACCAGGAGCGAGGCCTCTGAGACTCGGCAGCAGAGGAAAAGCCAGGGTGGCCCCGTCGCGCCGCCCCTGCTCCCGCGCGTCTGCGGCCGGGCTGCACCCCGCGACCGACTGCCCGTCGCCCCGCCCCTGCGGAGGGGGTGAGGGGAGCCTCAGAGAGGCCACGTGCTCCCCTGAGGCCACACTGTGAAGCTCTGTCCTTCAGAGGAGTTCAAGCCCAGCTCTGACTCAGCAGCTGCAACACCAGCTGATGCCTGAAGTTTGAAGCCACGGCCCACGCAATGGAGAACAGCCGGGGCCAGACCGGCGCTGTGGGGGCCGCAGGGGCTGGGGGCCCCGCTGAGACAAGCATGGAAGACGCGGTGGCTGAGAGGCGGGAAAGACGCGGCGGGTATGGGCCACGCCGGCGCTTGCCCGCAGGTTTCACCTCAGCATGTGCACGGCCGTGTTTACATATCGGGTTGGCCAAAAAGCCTCTTTAGTTTTTTTCTGTAAAATAAGAGACACGTTTCTCCTTTTCACCAATACCTTGGTTGATTGGGATATTCTGAGTATGTTGGCTGTCTCCCGCATGGCAGGACGTTGATTGTCCTCGATTAACGTCTTGATTTGATTGCTATCAGCCTCAACTGGCCGCCCGACTGCGGAGCATCGCCCAGGGAGAAAGCGCCGGCATGAAACTTCGCAAACCGCTTTTGACACGTTCGATCAGTCACAGCACCTTCTCCACACACCGCCTACATCTTTTTTTGCGTTTCAGTTGTGTTTTTACCTTTCTTGAAATAATAAAGCTTCTTGGATATTAAAATGGCGACACAAAAATTCACCCATTTTGATAAGTTTTTTAAAAATGCAGGCTGACATGACAGCTCTCATAATGCAATCTAAGAAAGTCGTTTCAGGTGACGTTGGACAGCTAAGCGCTACCGGAGCCAGCCCGCGGAGGAACCCCAGACGGGCGCTTGGCCCACCCCACAGGCACACCCCTCCGCCCGTCCCAGCGCCGCATCGACTCCCGCCCTCCCTCGCCGGCGCCGGGCGGGCGGGCGGGCGTGGAGGGACGGGGCCGGGGCCGCGCCGGCGCCTCTCACCTGTGTCCCCTTCCTCCCCGCAGGAGTTTGTCCAGCTGGCGAGGAGGCTGGTCCGCGACCCCACGCTGGGAAGAGACCTGGGGGCCCACGGCCAGGCGCACGTGAGGACACACCATTCCTGGCAGGCGGAGAGAGACACCTACCAGCACCTTGTCCAGACGCTGGAGGGGGGTGCGGGTCACCGGGCCTGCTGACCAGTGCCCCCAGCACGCGCCTGACAGGCTCGGGCCACGCCCCTGACGCCCAGGCAACGAGAGGCCGGGCGGGGGCGGGGCGGGGCCCTGGCTCTGCACCGCCTGAGCGGACTCACCTGCCCGCGGCCTGGCGCTGGCTGGGCTGCCGCCCTGCGGAGCCGCGGGGTGAGAAGAGATGCGTTGTCCGGAGGCTGCGCTCTGGCCCCGGTGGGAGGGCGCCCTGGCGTCCCGACCCCGTGGCCCCTCACGTGTCCCCACGGCCCGTCTTCACACTGACTCGCACGCCCCTCCAGGGCTTGGGGGAGGGGCGTGTTCCTAAGTGAATAAAGTGTGTTGCTGTGATCTGTGCACCCACAGCGGCTCTGTGTCCCTGCGAGCGAGACTCAGGCCCCGCGCCGCAGACGGTGAGCGGCCGACGCGCAATCACTGCTGTAATATCCAGGCCAAGGCGGAAAGAAACGCTTTTCCATCAACATTGTACCCGGTTTCTGTTTCCCGCTCAGTTAACTTGATGCTTAAACATTTTGTGGCGTCTCACTTTGCCGATGTGCAGCAGCTACGAGCAATTTCTGAGACAATCTTCCCACCGAGCCCGAAGGGACTTCTGGTGCCGGGGGACATGAAACACAAGGCGGGGAGGGGGGTGTCAGTGAAGAGGAATGACTTCATCTTTATTGGTGGCCACGGTCTAATGGGAAGGGGTTGTTTTTACAACCTGCCTCCTTCGGACTGAGAGCTCGTCCTTAAGTGTCCAGGCTGAGAGAAGCACCGTTGCAAAAAAAATGGCTCGGTTCTGCTGAGGGGCCACAGCCTCCGCTCGGGAACCGGGAACCGGGACCCGATGCCGACGCGGCTTTCCCGCAGCGGCCCGACGCACTGAGCCGCGGAGCCCGCTGACGGCGAGGGTGCACACGCTTCGTTTAAAACGCGTTTTCTCCCGGGGCACCTGGTGCAGGCACCGGCGCTGCGTCCCCCGAGCAGGGAGGATGCTGTCCGCACGCCCGCCAGCGCTGAAGGGCGCGGCCCGGCCGCACCCGGCTGCACTCTCCCACTTAGCATTTCGGTGCGAATAGAAACGAGCGTATAAAGGACCCACGGACAAAGCCAAGGTGGGGAAGGACGGAGGGTGGGTGGTGGCTGTGGGTGAGGCGGGGGAAAGTGGCGGCCGGAAAATGGAGACACACGTACTTGAACAATAAAATAAATTAAAGAAAGGCGCGCAGAACCGCTGACGCAGCCCAAAGAGGCTCGGCCGCCTGCTGAGGAGGCGGTGCCCGTGGATGCGCCCAGCTGGACGCGACGCTCGTGCCTGGACGCATTGAGAGCCTTGGCGGCAGATGAGCTCCTGCCACGCACGAGGGGCGGGAGCGGCAGCTGCCTTTACGAGCTGAAAAGCGGCCATTGTTCCCGTCTGTGGGTAAGAGCCACGCGGGAGGGGCACTCAGGGCCGGGCACAGGGCTCGGCGCCCGCGTCCACTTGCCCCGAGGCTGCGCTCCCGGGACACAGCAAAGGACCTCCCTTCCCCACGGGACTCCCGTGACTCAGGCTGTCCCCACATAGGGTGCCGGGCCGGAGACCCCACAAATTCCCGGTGTCTGTCGCGTCAGTGACCAGCCGGCCTGAGTTCCCACCGGTCCCCCGGGACACGGGGCTCTCGAACCAGCCCTTTTCCCTCCCCGGGCCTGGCCCAGCCTGCCCGGCAGGGCCCCGGGACCAGGCCGGGCTCAGGGCCAGGCGCTCGCCGGCGGTGCCTCCCAGCCTCGCTCAGCCCCCCGCCCCTGCAGGGTGAAGCCCTTCGCCTCAGCCCGAGACACCCGCAGACCTGGCGGCCGGAGCCCATCCCAAGCCGCTGTCCCCTCGCCGCGTCAGCGTCTGATTCCCGCGGGCAGCCTGTGATCCGCACCCTCTCGGCGGGCGCTGTCGGCGGCCCCGCGGCCTGGCCAGCGAGCAGCCCGAGGCTCTGGCGGGGTCCTGGGGCACGGCCGGGCTGGTGAGGGCAGTCTCTCTGTCTCTCTGTCTGTCTGTCTCTTCGTCTCTCTTTCCCCCCACACTGCACACGACTGTTCCCATATCCCACACGGTTAGTTGCCAACTAAAGCAATTTAACTGGCATGTGGCTGAGACGGACAAGTGTTTGCCCAGGTCAGAGGGCGCTGAAAGAGGCCCGGATGTGTGACCCCAAATCTTGCCCCTCTGCCATGTGGCTTATGTTCAGCCGAAGGCCGTAGAGAATCAACGGATGCAGAAAGAAGCCTCTGGAAACCTCCTCCTCTTACAGCGGACTCCTGAGAAATGAGCCTGCCCGCACGTCCCCTGGGGGGGGGGGGGGGGGGGGCGTGGTTTACGGCCACGGAGGAGCCTGAGAGCCGGCGCCCAGACAGCCTCGCAGACGAGCTTCGGCCCCAACCCTCGTCCCTGTCGCGGCCCCCACATCCTCGCCCTCTGCGGTTTGGGGCCCCAGACGCTCGGACCGCGGTCCCTCTGTCTCTTTGTCTCTTTGCCCCGCCCCCTCTCCGTGACTGCGCTGCTTGCTGCCCCGGCCTGCAAGTCTCCAGGTGTGACCGCGCGGGGTCTTCACGTCCCTCCTCCGAGGCCGCCCCCGCACGCGACACACGCCTCTCCCCCGCCGCCCCTTTGGCGGCTCTTGTGGCCTCGGGCGCTGAGCGAGGCCCCGGCGGAAGGTCTCGGCCTCCCCTCAGACCCTCGGCTCTGACGTTGCACTTACTCAGTGGGCTACACGCTGCCAAGCCCGTTGTTGGCAGATGCGTAGCGTAGAGCTGACGTGTTGACTGTTAGGTCTCGAGGACAATAAGACTCCACTCTTTTGACAATGTTTTGCAGTTGCCTGGAGCAGCTGCGCCGCCGCCTGTATGTGGTTTTCTCCTGTTGTGGTGGCGGAAGGACATGCCACCGTGTGGGCCGACGAGCATCGTCCCCACGCGCCCCCGGGTGCACGCAGGCGATTCTCTGCGGGAGCCGGGCGGCTCCAAGCCGGCGCCGCCACAAGGAAGCCCAGGCAGGGGGCGTGGGATCCCGGGCTTTGCGTGTCCGGGGAGCTTTTGCATTTCTTGAGAGAAAAAAACAAATGTCTTCACTCCCAAAGCCTTCGAACCGCCTGGCGGGAGTTTTTGAGGGAGGTTTTCGGGTTCCAAAAGCAAGGTCTAGGCGCCAAGCCCTGGATCCGAGGCACAGCGAGGGCGCTTGGGGGGTGGGGCAGGGACGAAAACAAAAGGGGGTCCGGCCTGGTGGGGGGCGGGCCACAGGGGAGCGGGCGTGTCTGCCCCGCCGCCCCACCGGCCCCAAGATGCCAGGTGCCGGGCACCGCGGCCGACGCAGCCCGTCCCTGCAGAGCTCCGGGAGGGGGTGGCCAGGAGGGAGGAGCGGCCTGTGCGTGTCCCGCACGCAGGCTGACGCCGGCCCGCACCCCGCCGGCTTGCCCCTGCAGCTCCCGCTGGGCTCGTCCGCCCTCCGGCGGCCCCAGGCCGCTGTGGGCTCGTGGCGCGTCCCTCCGGTCCCGCCGCCAGCCTCCCACGGCTTCTCTGGGTCCCTGTTCGCCGGGAGCTGAATTGTGTCCTGTCCCCCCCAATCTCTGCGTCGCTGCCCTGACACCTGCTGTGACTGCGTTTGGGGACAAGGCCTTACGGGGGTAGGAAGGGGTCAGCGAGGTGACAAGGGGAGTGCCCCCCCAGGGCCTGGGGTCCCTGCGAGAAGAGACGCCAGAGCCCGGGCGGCACGGGCACCGAGGGGAGGCTGGGGAGGCCGCAGCGAGACGGCGGCCACAGGAGCGCCAGGCGCGAGCCTCGCCGCACGGCGGCCTGGCCCTCACCCCGACCCCGACCCCGACCCCGACCGCACCTCGGCCTCCGCAACTGCGCGGCACCACGTCCAGCGCTCGAGCCGCCAGCCGGCGGCCTCTGCGGCGGCTCCCCCGCTGACCAGGCCCCCGCGTGCTCTCTGTCTCCCCACAGGACCCCCGCCGTGCGGTTTGGGTCTCACTCCATCCCCCCGGGACGTGGCCCCTCGCCCCTTGCTGGGTCCCATCTGCGGAGACGCCTGTCGCCGTGGGGCCGCCTTCTGAGGTGCCAGGGCCCCGGCTCTGGGAAGCGCAGGCCCACCTGGGCACCGCACGGGTGGCTTCCAGCTTCAGGTGCCCACTGGCCTCCGCGCCCGCCGACCCAGGCGTGCCGGCGCCCCCGGAGATGGGCAGGGTGCACGGCCTCCCACGCACGCGGGCCCAGGGCTCCGCGGCACGGCCGGCGCCCGGGAGCTGCTCCTGGGAGTGTGCTGGGCGCACGGGTCCCTCGGGCCTCCGGGCGTCTGTCCCCAGCACAGCCTAGTGCGCAGCCCCAGCCCCGGGCCAGCCGCGCGGACCCCTCCCCGCCCGCGTCGCGGCTCAGCGTCTCCTGGACACACGGACACCTGAGCAACCGTGTAAACAGGCGCCCACCGCGGCTGACGAATGCGCTATAATTCACGTTAGAACAAATAATTTATGAGTGTTTATAATTTCATGTGTATTTATTAATTTATAAGTAAAATTAAAATGATCTATAAAAAAGACAAGTACTGTATGGACTCACTCATCTGTGGAACCTGGAAACACAGCACAAACGCAGAAGGAGATGAAGCGGAAGCGGACCCGCGGGGGCGGGGGGCGGGCAGGGACGCGGGAGTCAGAAAAATGTTTGAAAAATGAAATCAATTACCTGTATTAATTAAAATTAAAATAATCCATCATTTAAAACTTGTGGCTGGGATGGTTTCTAACCAAATATATAAACACAAAAACAGTTCATTTTTATTATAATTAAAATTTATCTGCCGTTCAAAAAATTTTTCATCTATAATTACGCCTAAAACCCAGTACAGAAGAGAACCTTTGACCCACCCACGTAACTTGCAGGAACTTATCCCAGCGACAGAAAGAGGGGTGAGGCACAGGGTATACGCAGGAGGCAAACGCCCCGCAGGGCACACGGCAACGGCCAACGACTTCGGGCGACGCCGCCACCGCAAAGCAGGCCCAGCCAGTTCAGTCGCGGCGCGGGGGTGACGCACGCAGCCCTC